ATTCACCTACAGAGGTTACTCAAATTTATGTTTTACTACTATTTAAATGTAGTTACCTTTGTCTAGGGGAAGCACACAATAACAGTTTATTTTGAGGCTATCTGTGATTATTATTTTTAAAGCCGGGTTGTACTTATGTTGTTAAAGAAAGATGCTCCAAAAGACTTGTTTTTTTCCAATCTTTACACTCTTAGTCTTTGTATTGAATATTCAATATTTCACTGAAAACAGTATTATCTTTGTTAGGTGTTGATGAAATGAAAACATGATCTTAAAGTTCCTCCTATTTACCTGGATTTTGTCATTCTGCAATTGTGATGTTATAAACACAGAATCGCAATGTAAGTGTTATAATTTTGTATCAATTACAATGTTACAGTCCATGAAGAGTTGTATAACTTTTCTCTTGAAAATAGGGTTAGGTTCTTGGTTGTTACAAAGTATTCGCTTAGTTCCAGTAACTTGCTAAATACAATTGTCTCGCTTGACTTGAAATAGTGTATAAACATTAAACATCACTATTTCAGATTTGTACGACTTCTATAATGGTTTGAGTGGTAATGATTCCTGGAAGGAGAGCTGGAATCTTTATAAAGGTCAGCCTGATTCCCCCAGATCTGAAGTCTTGTTAGCATTACCAGATGCAGAGATGGACTTCTCTGATTGTGAATCAGGCAGTGAATCAAAATGTCTAACTAAGATGGACCTTACTAGTCAGGGGCTAGTTGGTACAATCCCCAGCGGTTTTGAGGCTCTCACGAAGCTCACAACTCTCATACTGAAAGATAATGAAATTGAAGGATTTGCTGTCGATTTGGACTTTGAAAACAATGCACAATTAGAAGAGATTAACTTATCATTAAACTCCATTAAAGAGTATAGTGGCTCGTTTCCTGCTGGCCTCATATCACTCGATATGAGCAACAATTCTTTAAATATGGATATATCAGATGTGCTTAAAAAGATCGAGAATGCTAAAGCAACTATAGAAACATTGAATCTATCTGGTAACAAAATAAAAGGTACCATCGGAATTGCTGAAATTGCAATCCTTAACTCCTTGACTGCCTTAAAGTCGATAAACCTATATGATAACGAGATTGAAGGTGACTTAGAAGATATTTCTAATGAGGATAAATGGGAAAAGCTGGATCTCAGTTACAACAAGTTCTCGGGCAATTATCCAGAAGTGTTCAGGACTGTGTTTAAGAAAGAAGGTGGTGATGGAAATGCCAGATGTAACCGATTTGATTGCACCAGGTACCATTTTTGTAACTAGGACACAACATTTTATTCTCTGATGAAAATTGTATTCTTTGAGATGTTCTAATGTATGCAGATGTACAAAATGTGTTTGAATTTAGTAAAACAATGTGTTCTTCAATTTACAAATCCCTCTCAGCTTGAAAAATCCCTCTTTGGGCGAAACAACTGTTGACGAATATGACATTAAAGAATGTTACTGCGAAGAAAGAGGAAAATATGCAGATCTTTTAGAGGATAGCACAGCTGTATCATGTAAGAAATTTTGAAATTTCCCGCTTTTTCTTTCACTTTCACTTTCCTTGTCACTGTTACCATCAGTCATTACCTTTAATTTGAATTGTTTGAAGGTGAGACGTGTGCGGACGGTAAGATGGCTAACAAATGGGTTCGGTTTACGTTCTGGGATGAGAGTGTTACGAGTTACGAGTGTGAAACCCCCACTACGGGCTGTATGGACTGTATGTTCCCTAGAAACTGTAAAGCGGGAGCTTGCGAAGCAGGTACGTTATTTGTAAAACTTTGTCTTTAGTTTTTCTTTATATTTTGGTTAGTTGGTCTGTCCTGTTTGTAAGTTTGTATGTTTGTAAGTTTGTCTGTTTGTAAGTTTGTAAGTTTGTAAGTTTGTCTGTTTGTAACTTGGTAACAGATATTCTCTGTCAGGATCTGAGGGACCAACCTGTGAAACTTGTGCGGAAGATTATAGAATGATTGGAGGGAAATGTGAGAAATGTCTAACTTCCAAGGTAATATTCACAATTAATTTTACAGCTGTTAACAAGACGTCATCATATGTTCTGGACTCGTACACAATCTTATCGTTTTGGATTTATCAACGAGGAACATTGCAAATAAATAATAAATACTTTCCTCGTAGCATGAAACAAAAGGTCATATATTTTGTAGAATTAAGAACAATCGGTACTAATAATATAACATCTGTAACAATATTGTAAAATGTTACTCTCTCCCTCTCTACTTGTTATTTTAGGTCCCTATCGCCGCCCTAGTGTTAATAGTGGTCCTGGTTGTGATACTGGGATACGGAGTATTCCTCTCAGGGCTCAATATTCTCGCAGCTACTATGATTAAACAACTCTTCTCCTACTTACAGGTAACGATTAATAATAGCTAATATTATAATCTACTCAATACATGATTTGATGTTTAAATTTTAGTTCTATCTTTTCCGGATACAATAAAACTGCGAATTCTGAACCAGTTAAAGTAAACGTTGCTTCTAAATTACGTATGATATAAAACAGTCGCAAGATGTCATGCAATTAAGCTACTTCAATTATAATCGTGTGTAGTTTCTGCTGATCCGGAGATCAGGAGTAAAAATAATGAGATTTTTACAAAATAATAACCAAATTCCTAAAAACTGTTTCCTAATTTTATTGTCTAAGTTCTTCTCCGCGCACAAGAGTTCATTTTCTTCAAGTTCCTCTTAGCTCGGATCAGTGTTCACATTTACAATTAGCTCTTCCTGTGCCCGTTACAATAGCACATGTAAGATTTGCTTGCGAAGTCGCTCAATGTTCCTTGTTAACAACATGTAAATTTTAACTCAGTAAGTTTGAACTGCTGGCAAGCACGCAGTGGGAATCATTTCCAGTAGATTCAAGTTTTAAAAAGCGATAGTAGCTGGTCCGGGTGACGCAACTAAATTTAGCTATGTTCTGGCCAAACAAGTCTAAACCAGCGATTTTACAATTTATAATTAAATTTTATAATTAATCAGGTGAATTGAGGTTTACACACAATATTTCAGATCTATTTTTTAACAATGGATATAAAAGCAAACTGGCCGAGGTTTTGGGGAGAGCTGGGCGATGTCTACAAACTTTCAATGATGAACAGTCATGCTTTTGATCTGGGTTAGTTGCTGTGGTTACCTGTGGTATGTGTAACATTACCTAGTGTGTGGAATGTGTAGAGACTAGAGAGTTCAGTGCTAGATTTTAGCTGGGGTTCAATGTTTACATTTTGATTACAAACAGACAGGCTGGAAAGGAAATATCGATATCGAAATATTCAGTACCTGAGATAGTCACGATTAATGATATAATTATAATTACAGAATGTCTGACGGGTCTAACTACACTAGAGTTGTACTACATCCACTGGGCTTCAGCTGTTGTCTGGCCCATCATCATGACCATTGTGGTGCTGAGTGTGGACAAGTCTTATGTGAGTCTTATGATCTTCATATATAATCCTCATTTCTTATCTTATCTGCTATAATTCTTTAGATCCTCTTCTCTAGCATGTCTTCTTATGATACTATTAAATTCTTAATAATGTGTCTCATGTGTATTTGTTTTTGATTTTCTTTATTCATTCAGCTCTTTATTTGTTATCATATTATCATCTTCTCTCTCATCACACTTTCATGAAAAGAAGCTTTACAAAAGACAATATTCACTCATCTGCAGGACAAGAAAGCATGTTAAATTCCTAAACAGAAAACTTTCTTTAGTAGGAACGATCAATCTTAATGACAGACAAGTGCATACTGCATAGACAGCAATTACTACTGGTCCAATCACAACGACTATTTCTAGCTAGCATGTGATGCTGATACTGTACTTATTTAATCCAAGTTAAATTTAGGATGCTTAGCTATAGTTCCAGCTTAAGAAAAAGGTTAATTTAAAGAAATTTAACGCTGTCCTGGCTAAATTCAGTATAAAGTAGAAAGTGGAGGCATTGCTTCACGACTTATCGGAAGTAAAAGATGGTGCCAGCCCTAACTTGAGACATAGCATGCATGTTGAAATTATTCAATAAGAAAGTGTACATAATTTAATGAACTGCTAGGGGACTGATTGCGGTTGCTATGGTGGCCAGGGTAACGTAAAAACTTGAGAAGTCACCACTAAACCTTAGAACTACCAATAACTTTTTACAGAATGAAGTTTAGACAAATGGATTAAAAGTTATATCCAAAAAGAACATCCTCGCCAGACTTTTGAAACACCCTGTATAAACTACGTACTGAGTAGCAAATTATAGAGATAAAAACTATTTAAATCATATTGCCTGAGCTCTCCTAAACAGAATCAGCGTAGAAAAGAGTTCTAGAATCTTCTGTTCCTACATTACATAGTTTAAGCCTCACGTAGAGCTTGTAACTAGCAATGTGATAACTCTGACATGTGCCTACTACTGATAATGAGGTTTCATGGAACTAACTACATTTACGTGTAACATGATATTAACTGTAACTTGCTGCTTCTAATTCTCAGTGCGCTGACCAGCATGATTGTTACAATTAAGTGTTTAACAACTAATAATTTATATATCTGGTAACTTATTAAAAGTACAAATTATGATACAAAAAACTTCTAATATCTTACTCTTACTAATTTGAATCGTTCAATACAACAAAATTAAACCTTCACGATTAAACTGTGCACTAAATTCCGTCACCTGTATTTTCAGAAGCGAAAGTTGCACGTTCTGCATGTGAAGGTTCACATTCTATCACAACTCTATCACTTTCGAGTTTTGTTTTTGTTATTACAAACTGTTTTAAATTCGGTTTGGTGATTCACTGAGAGATTTCGGATGTTGAGTATTTGTTTTGATCCGTGTTTAATTTGTTTTAAGTTTGAGAATTGTAGCGTTAGTTTTTGAACTGATAAAGAGATTCCAGTTTAGGCTTTTAGGAATTTAAAATGTTCCCCCTGAATATCTGTGTATTTGGTGCAGAGTGAGCGTATAAAAGCGTTGCAGCAGTCCGGAGACGAACACATCAGTAACAATGAGTCGAACTATCTCAAGGACAAACAGGTTTGTAATTAGTTATAAGTGTTTAAAAATTACATCCGTTTTAACCTTTCAATATAATAAGATTGATTGTTCACGTAAAATTGTATCTATAAACATGATATTTCAAGGGAAAAACTCCTCATTATAATAAATATTATTCAAAACCCCTTTTATTAAGCCACTCCCTTTTTACTAATAATTTTAGAATCACCGTCACCAATATTTGTTTATTTAAGCAAATACTCCTGAATAGACAGTTTAATAGTCTCCTGCCACGCTGTAAAACACTTAAACTCAGGGTTAAGATTAGACCCATTCTTGGCGCCAGGTATAACCACAAACTCCAGCAGTCTCCCCACCCTTCGCAACCTGTTAGCCAACCTACTCGTCTCTGTGATAAACATGTCAAACTCCACCTCATTTATAATGGTAGGAGGGAACTTAGCGAGGAGTTCGTCACTAACTTTACCAGGAAACAGTACAGGGTCCTCCCACTGAGACTCCAAATCAGTGGCGCGCAGACGCCAGATCTTCCGCATGGAGAGGGAATCTCGGCGTTCCTCACGTGTCATGCAGCTGGGTGGGGAGAAACAGTAGTCATCTATCAGGGACATACCAGGCATAGCTAGCTTGACGAGGTGTGTTTGGTCCCGCTGTGCGAGTAGCACCATGGTTCCTAGACATATGTACCCGCCTCCACACTCTCCCGCTATTGCTATCTTTTCTGTAGTGGGGACATCTTATTTTACTTAAAGTTGTTATTGAGATATCATACTTAAAGTTTGTTTTTATGGAAGTAGTAAGCTCATTCGTACATTACAAAAATGAAAAGTGTTTTTTATTTGAAAAAGTTGAACAAGTAACCTGGATCAATGTTGAGGTCTGCCGCGTTATTGTACACAAACTTCAAACACTCGTAGAAATCCAGTACATTGTTAGGAGACTTTGTTTCCGGAGCAAGTCTGTAATCCACATTAAACACCACCACCCCACAGTTAACAGCTATATAGTCCAACCAAGGTTTAGCAAGTGGCGCAGTGGACGCTACACCTCCCCCGCCGTGCGCGTATATGTACGCAGCGTTGCGAGTGTTGTGCGCGAGGGAAGTAGGAGTGTAGACATGTACTGGTACATTGTAGTCAGTACAATGTGTCGTGGGTACTGATAGCAGTGTCTCTACAGTGTGTTTACTGCATTGTTGCAGTGTAGGATGTGCTCCAATCTGTGTTATGAAGGGGTCTATCATCCCGCGTATCATCACTGTGAACTCTTTGTCGCTCGCTTCGCTCTCACATTTACTCAGCTCCTCCATTTTGTGTAACATGAGTTTGGCTACTCCGGTCAGTTTAGCTACTTCTTGTTCGAGAGACGACTCAAATTGTGCCACATCACTGTCAATACTTCCTTGTAAAGGGTAGTTGAACAAACCTTTAGACTCAACTCTCATCTTGAATCACGTGACTGAAATGCAGCTCTTTGATTGGTTCAAGGCTTAGTCTCTGTTGTGGGGAAAAAGCTAACTTATGCAAATTGAACTGATCAAACGAACGTGAAGTGTGTAACTCAAAAATAGAATTATTATCTTGGTTTTAATGTAATAAATCGATTAATATCCTCGATATCTGATTGGTCTATGAATTACTTATCTTATAGATATTAGATGATGAATGTACTTTATTAGAGTAATTAATAATATACAATATGAATTATAGATTATACTTTACTGTTTACACTATTTATTTTTCCCAGACTGGAATGAGGCGTCTGTTTGTAATGTTCATCCTGATTGCGTTTGTGCCCATGACTGCTCTGAGTCTGCGCATGTACGCTTGTGAGAGTTGGGCACCGCAGACTGTCACTGTTAAATGGAATGATGACCAGCCGATTGTTGATAACCAGTGGTTCTATGATAACACAGTTAGCTGCAATGACCCTTCACTGCAGGTTATTTACTGATTTAGCGTTATTTTATTTACTCTGAATATATTCTAGTAACTATGGTAACTAACTGTTTTATTTGAGGATCAAGAACTATGCCACCTTAATCTATTCCTTAGATTTTAAACAGAAAATCCATAGAAAGTGTTTTCGTCCAATTATCCAATTATTTTCAGGGTGTTGCTTTCCTAGCCACGATGTTGTTGGTTCTAGAGTTTGGAGTGATAGTATTTCTCTTCCTAATTCTCTTTAGAATCTGGAGACTGTTTGATACTAAGGATAAAAATAGCGCGGAGCTCTTCGGGTAAACAAAACATTCCTTATTATGTAATGTGTACATTCCTTATTATGTAATGTGTCTTGTAACTCAATTATCATATCAATCGATCTCTGAAAGCTTTAGGTTACAACTTTTCTGAACACACAATGTAGAGTAAAACCTCTCTGTACCCGGTGTACCGTGCCTCTCTATACCGTGTATCTCTTCCTTTCCCCCAAACTTTAGTTGATAAGCTTGTATTGGGCAAGAAATGCACATTATCATTGCTCATATCGCATTTGGTTGTCATTTGAGAACATAAAGCTGTATTCCATCACAATATGCCCGGTATAGAGAGGTTTCGCTGTAATTAGACTTTGAGTAGATGCATTCAACCTAGTTGAATTTCAACTAGCTCGCATTCAACAAGTTTACTACTAGTTTTCCTTACTTTAGATAGATATAAGCTGAACACACAAGCTTAAATTTAATAATATAATGATAATCCCAGTGCACTACACGAATCTTTCACTGACCGAGGACTGTTCTGCGAACCAATCCTACTGCTACGAAAGTTTATCCTGATAATGACAACACAGTTGACTTATCTTCCCCCGTTATATGTGGCGGGAGGGAACAGCATTCTTACATTCCTCTGGTTGCTTCTAATCGTCATTAGACAACCTTACATGTAAGTGTTATCATGGTTATTGAGATTAGTTACACTGCCCATGTCACTATTACAAAATACAATGCATCTAATTCTCGCTATGTCACCCTCGCTGTTGCTACAATTTTGGTCCACATTCTGCTATTGTGTGCAGTATATTTTACATGTGGTTGCCAGGGGCTACACTAAGGCCTATAATTAAGGGTCAGTCATTAGTTAAGATAACACTCGATCGTACATTAAATTGAGGTATCCTGTCAGTAACACGCGACTTATATAATCATGTAAGTTACCGCGCAGATGCCGCGCATGTTTACGCGCGCGTTTTAAAGCACATGTCATGTAACTCATTTGATCGAAGTTCTTTGTTGTCTGCCCACCATTTGTAATTTGACAAATTTGTGAACCAATTTAGATTGCAGGGATTGTAAAAATACTCTATCTTTCAGAAAATCAGAAACAGCTATCTCTCTACTGAATAACTGGTGTAATGTGTTTGAAATAGGAGCTACTTTCTTGCTATTCCTCACTCAACTATACGCTGTTATCAACTCTATCGACTCTACACTTGTTTACCCCGTTAGTTCTCTACGTATTGATTGTTGTTACACACTATTGGCATTTAACATAACTATCTTACTTAACGTAAGTCTAGAGGCAAAGAGCGTTTTAATTTAAATAACAGTGATTTATGAGGGATAATTCAATAAACCAGTCAAGTTTATTGAATTTGTGAACTGTAAATTTAAAAAACATTTGTTACTTCAGGACCAAGATGGGTTAGTAATAGCTCTCCTAGTTCTACACACGATACTCGTTGTCCTCTGGCTGTCCATGTTCATTGTGGTTCTTATCAAAGTCGCTAAAAGTGGGATTAAGGTTAGTTAAAATTAGTAACTTAAGGTTCATTTAATTGACTAGTTCAGTCTTAACATATTGATCTCTTTAAAACTTGTAAGCTCAATAAGCGTGTTTACAATATGCGACAATGACAATATAGTATTTTTGTTCAGGACAGAAGGAGTAGAAGATCACTGCGGTCCATTCACAGACAGCAATCTGCACGGGTCACCATGAACCCTGGAGCTAAAGTAACGCCCGTCAATACCATGGTGCTACCAATGGTGGAAGTACCGGGGGAGAATGACAGTGCCAGTAACCTTGTTACTAACGTCGAGGAGACGGACATGTGAACAGGACATGTTATCTAACAGTGATTTGAGCTGAGAAAAAGTGTCGTGATTTTAGACTGGCCTGACCGCCTGGTATGTCAAATAAAGACTGATAATCTAGAAAATAAAGACTAGTCTAACACCTGTAGGTCGAATTAAGACGCGAACAAAGTGTGAGAACCGTGTATTCTCACTGGACAGTTCTTATAGCCTGGACAGAGTATATGTCCAGATCAAACAACTGATTATTATCTGATATTACGTAAACCAACCGTTGGGGAGGCGATTTGGAAACGCTTGTAATTCTACACAATTGCTAAATTGGCCGTAGATGTGGTGGGGGTCTAAATCTAGCTTACATGTTAACGATCCTTTAGTACGCTTTCAGCCAAATATGAGATAAATTAAGTTTGCTATCAGCGGCATGAATTTTACTGTGTCACAAACATCTTATTTTCCCCATTATTATCATTTTAATCGACAATCAGTTGTCACTCTTTTATACCAAACGTTTCTCTTTAATTTTGCTTCATGATGCTATATTTTATGCTTTTGTTTCAGTTGAACTACAAGTTTTTACACAATATTTAATGTATTAAAAATGTTGCTGAGTTTCTGTTGTACGATGTAATCAGTAATGAAAGTATTTTCTTCAATCTTGAGTTTGATTTTGTCATGTTAACTTTTCTAATATAATATAAGGGTATAAAACTATGACTTTTTGGACGCCGATTGGGGGGGATGCAACGTCAATTAATGTCAGTATTCCATAAAAACCCCAAACTGACATTGACATTGATTGACATTAATTGACATTAATTGACATTAATTGACATTAATTGACATTAATTGACGTTGCATCCCCCCCCCCCCCCCCCGCCGATTTCGTATCACCCCAAAATAAAATCCATTAAACGGTACTTTTCAATCTACCTTTTAATTGACCAGTGCAGACACTCTTTAATCGTGAATAGATTTTAGCAGGAAATTTCATAAACAATAAAATCTCGAACATTTTATACATCAATGCAAATGAAAATTTAATTATATTCCAATAATAACTGTACACAAAAACATATTTATACAAATATCACGTGGATGCTACTAACTTGAACTTGCTGCAAATGACATCGCAGCCCTGAAATCAAATAATTATCATAAAGTGAAATCAAATAATTATCATAGGTGAAGGTGCAAAATAAGACCAGTTCATTAATTCCCTTTTTTATGTTGATGACTAATTTAAAGTAAATTAGAACTAAGTCAATAAAGAAATACAAAATTTCAATTAAGATCCGCACTACGACCGTACATCATTTTTCCAGACAACCACAAGAATGGTCGAAGAGAGCAGAATAACACTTCCTATCACTTGTATTGTTGTCGGTACCTGTAATGGGTTTCTGAGTAATTAATTAGATAATTATACGGATGCAACTGAGAGCGCAGCCCGAAAACCAAACATGGGTATACCATGATCAGTTGTGTTGTTGTTTTATCAAGCACAGTAACGACAATCAGATTATTACGATCCTCAAATTTAGGCTTTCTTAACAATTTTATCGACACATTATTTTTTGTAAAATTGGCACCATGTTCATTTTTGCATCCAATATCCGGCAACAGTAGTTCACAATAAATTGTATGAATCTTAGCTTATCAAACTCATTTGATAACCAATAAACTGACCTGATGGAACATGAATATCTGGAAGATGAAAGCAATGAGAACGTCAATATTCCTGATAAGACTGCACTTGGTAGTGTTAGCTAACATGCCTCCTTTGTTGATACCGTACTGTGCTATGAATCCCAACAGTCCTGCCAGGACCAGTGCCAGGTTGTCACTCTGCAGGTGGACGACAGTTTATAGTTATACTTCCACAAACTCACACTTGAGTGGAACACGTGATAGAATTTTATTTCCACGATTTTATATTGTTGATAATGTTATTCAGCGATGATTTCAATACATGCAATGAAGTTCGTCAAGAAAATGTTAACTAATATCTGATATCATGTCAGAAGTTTATTTGGGGAGGGGGGAGTTCACGACAATCCAGTTCTGACAAATAGCCTTACATGAGAGGGTTGTTGTAGAACACTGTCCACGCTGTGTCCGCTGATGAGAAGGAAGAACCCGGTCACTATGATGGAGAGAGAAGCTGTTGCGAACCCGGCTAAAGAGTAGTAGAACAATACCACGTGGTATTGGATACCCTGGTGAAATGTCCAACGATTAGCATGATTAAGCTTACAAATTTCTATTTTAAACTAACTTGGTGTTTTATCTGCTGAGAATTATTCTAAGAACAATTTTTGACAATTTTTATTAGTAACTGATCGAAAATATCATTACATCGGCCATATTTAGCTACTCTGCTGCGTTTGAGAATACTTATTAGCTAACTGTGTCGTAGTCGTACCTGACGAAATAGAAAGTTCCATACCTGATTATTACACCGTTTGATAAAGATGTACGCTAGAGATTTAAAGACTGGCTGTAGCAGTGCCACTGAAACTGCCAGTAGGTCTAGAGAAGCATGTTTCATCAACCTGCAGTGGGGTGATTTGTTAGCGTTGGGCGGTAAGTTAACGTGTTTGAAGATACCATAGAGTTGGAGGGATGGGCGGTTGCCAGTAAAATTAAATAATTGTCTTAAATAGTTGGTGTGTGAAGACAGTACAATTACGTTGTGGGTGGATCTGGTTGGCTGATTTGGTTTTAAACACGCTGCAATTGAGACATCCTAAAAGCTATAATTACTTAATGAGCTCGGAAGAGTTGTCAATGTTAATTGGCTTTATAGGAAATCTGTAAAAATAATCCCTCAGTAATGACTGAATTCTTTGTGCTCGTGTCTTGTTGACAGTGATTTCAGCCGTTTACTATTTTCCAAAATTTTGTGATTTTGTAATAGTCTGGCCCAATTATCTCCAATTATCTAAATACCTTTCATTTAAAATCCACAATTATTCATGAACCACTCCCAGTATTCATCTCATTACCAATGATCGTGCAGTGTTCTAATGATTAAAATCAGGCTGAACAGCACCGTTTACAATATTGCATAACGCAGTTTATATGGAGACCTCCCAAAATATTTCCTTGTGTTTAAACTAAAGATAAAGAAGGATCTCACCTCCTGGGGTCGACAACCATGATAACTCCAGCTATACAGAGGATTATACACACAAAGTGGACAGGCATGAACTTGTCTTTCAGCATCAGTTTGGAACCTATTGCTGTGAAGATGGGGGCTATGGAGATTATGACGGTCACTTCTCCAACTGAAAGAATTTATATTTTAGAGGTTATTTTAGAGGTTGCCTTGTGTTTGGATAAAGACACACCAGCTATTATTTCTTGGGTTGGTAAGCTTCAACTGTGGTCTTGCTTTTGTTTATGGTTTAAAATCATATTTAGGGTATAGCTAGGTCAATGTTTACTTCAAGAAATATTTCCTGATATAAGGTAAGGGGTCGTTTACATATTATTATTACGTAATTGGCCGAAGGGGGATCGGAGGGGGGTAATCAAATGATTACGTTAGTGTAAATTTGACACAATAGCTATGTTTAAAACTGATTACGGAGCGGGGAGCTGAGGGGGGTTGATAATTGGCCAAAAAGTGATTACGTACTATATTAATTATAAACGGTCCCTAAGAAAATTTTAAATTCGCCCAGAATTAGAAAATATTTGGTGCAATACGTGTGGTTCTGATAACCCAATGCCCCAAACATCATCTCAGCCTTATACAAGTATTTCTTACCTGGAAGACGCTGTATAGCGTACGTAGAGCAGAGAAAACTGAGAATCCCAAACACACATCTGAAGATAATCTCCCATCTCGCGGCTATTTTAGTAAAGAGAGGTTCTCCTTTAGAAATACACAGGATACTGGACACAGTTAGGATTATCAGAAACCGTCCCCATATCACCTATCAGAGAGCGACTGTTAGTCAAATTTTTGAGAAAATGTTTTTGTCCAAACCACGTGATTAGATATATTATCATTTAAAAGAAATTTCATTCTTCAAAATCGTGGAATATAAATACAATGTATTTTTGTTCCACGATTTTAAATAAATGCTTAATACACATTATACTAATACTAGGGTAAAGCACATAATTTTGTCATTTTTTGGCAATTTTCCGACTGCCTGATATAAACCATGGGTTTTAACCTCGTCTGAAATTCCGATTTAGATGAAACCTCCACCATGTTATAGTAGACAGTCTAGGCAAGTTCTAACACAAAAATGATCGAAATTGCTGGGGTTGAAGATGTTAAAAAAATTATTTTGAAAAAATGACAAAATTAGGTGGCTTTACTTAATTTTGTCACCCCGAACCTAATTTTGTCACTTGAAGATTGTGCAAAAAGTAACCGTTTCTCGGTATTTTAGACTACCTGGATGCATCATTCGAGCGCTTTTTTACCAACATTGACCTCAAAAATCCCAAAGATATGATGTTTTCATAGTTTTGTAGCTTGATGAAAAGATGACACTTTTTGTGTATCTAATCTTAGAAAATAGCCCCAAATGCCCCTGAAACCACTGGCATCTTGAAAAACGATTGGTTCTAGGCCTAGGTTGAAATTTTCATGTCTGTAGATAGATCACTTGCTTAGTAATTTCATCAAATATTTTTTTAGTCATTTTAGATTGAAAAAATCAGATTATCCACCTAATATTTCTCGGCGAAAATATGCTATTATAAGTGTTATGCTATTATTTAAGTGCCTTATACATATCCTATGGGCAAAAAAACTTCAGAATAGTTGTATAAGGCCATTTTCAACACAATCTGTGATTTACAAGAAATTTGAGAAAGGTCGATTTTTTTTGACAAAATTAGGTACTTCTGGCAAAATCGAACCTAATTTTGTCACCCTCTGTAACTTGAACAATAATTGCGCTAGAGACTTGAAAATTTGTACGTATACTTCTGATGTAGAAGATATTTGAAATATGCAATGGCATGAAGCTAGCTCAATTACTTTTGAAATAGCAATAAATCAAAATTTTGAAAATTCCTTAAGAAAACCTTAAGGATCTTATTTATTTTTCGGGTTAACAGTTTCGCCTTCATTTTTGACACAGATGCAAAAGAGCTAGAAACTTAAACTTTGTACGAGCAGTTTCAGCAAAGTCTAAGCTTTCTTTTTATACACAATCCTTTTCTTTCAAGCTGAAATTCCGAGCCGAGGCAGTTTTTCAGAGCAAAATGACAAAATTAGGTACCCTGACAAAATTATGTGCCTTACCCTATGAACAATTTATCGTATTCTAATTAAACTGATACTTAATTAATTAAGTTTAAGATAAAGGACTAAATTCCCTTTTCTTTAAAAAAAAACCCACAGAAAATTGATTTCCGGTCATCCAGTGTTTTTAGGGATTTTGAAGGCAATACATCATTACCTCATTAAACAACAATATATATTAAAAATAAATACAAACCTGTGCGGTTGGAAGATGTCCCACGTATTTGATAGCAGCCGACTGACACCCGTACGTAACACCCGACATCCCCACTAGTAGCAACCCGAAGGTAGGGGACACCTGCAAAACATGGGAGATAAAACTTTTAGTTTATGGTGTAATAATGTTTCTACTAAATCTACAGTAAAATAAATTTAAAAAATACCAAAAAATTACAAACGCAGAAGGAATCGTTGACATGATGTTGTTGTTACCAATACATTGGCCAGATTTTGGCCATTCCAATCATATAAGTTACTCTTAACTCTACGATCCCAAAACAACAACAACAAAAACAAACCTTGAAGAAACTCCACCATTTGGGGAACTTGTACCTCCACTCCCCGTTTAAGAGAGAAGAGAACTCAAGAGGAGCCGGCTCCTGATCCAGTATCAGATCTGTTGTTTCATCATACTCCTTTTTGGAGGGCCGGAGTCCTAAGTCTGGCTCATGGTCCATTTCAACACCTGGATTATTTATAATTATTATAATTATTACTAATTATGTTCTGTATCACGGCCAGTAAAAACAGGAACTGCAGCAAACGTAAGAGATTTAGAGATAGTCTCATGGTTACGATTTTATCAAAAGCTGGTTGAGGCTTTCAGTAAGTACCGCAGCGGTAACATATACCGCTTATAACATATAAGTCTGTTAAATAAGTCTGTTAAATAAATTAAAACAAGAAATACACTGCTCTGCTACAAGTGATGTTTAGTGGAAAGATGTTTTTACTAGTACTACACTAGGCCTGAGAGTGTTTATGATATTTATATCTTAAAAGCTTTGAAGGAAACCGTACTCCCCTCGCATAGATTGTATGTGTTTTAAAATTGTATAGACTTTCATTATAAAGGACTAAATAGACGTTTTAAAACTGATTTATGGTCTTGGAGAGTTGAAATTGAAACAGAAAGGTTCTTGTTTGAATATCGAAGAATTCAAAAACGAAATTTCACGAAGCCTGGGATTTCTGAGAAGGAAATCACAGTTGGTCAAAGAAAAGCCGACAAAAAAATCAAAATATTTTCGCGCGATCCCAGCTAAAACATTAGCTGGTCTCTGAGGAATAGTGTCAACTCAGAAGATAACCAATCCATTTGTAATGGGCTGTGACCAGCCAATAAAATGAGTAGTTGGATGCGACATGTGATCAGATATGATTAGTAAGTGAGTCATCGTGACCATCTGAACAACTCTTAAAATTCTTGTCACGATAACTGCAGCCGTCAATCTCTAGTGGATTCTGCGGTATCGTTTGATAGAATCTACACATAGACGGATTAGCCACTGCCGAATGTCTGTAACTGTAAGCCCTATGACATGTAGACACTGCTTTCAACCCCAAAATAAAGTCTGATGCAGGCAAACTCGCTAGTCTGCGTGAATAATACTAAAAGACCTTTTTCGTTTAGAAATCGTAACTGCACAGTACAATTTTAAGTTTATGTTATATTTTTATTTTGTATATGCAGTAAATGAGGGAGGAAACAATTTGCCCAAAAACCCACGTAGTAACGAGGTCTGCATTATAAATATAACGAAATACTACTTTATGTGACAAGTTCAACAGAGCAGAAGTTGAAAATTGTAACAATTGCTCTGCAACGGATATTGTGAAGCACGGTAGATCGAATAGCCGAGATAATCGGTCGGAGAATTGGAACAAGCAACAAAACAGTGGGCGGAGCTGCCCTGATAATCTACATAACCTCCAGTAATTACCATGGCTAATCTACCATACTCTATAACACCGCGTTCCCGCACGACTCGCTAGCAGATTCTGGAGGTGGTAGATTTATATTCTCCAAGTAGACGGCCTACACGATCGTCTAGCATTAGGGTTATGTCCATCCAATCAGGTATCATTAACATAGTCACGGGAATCCTGTGAACCAGTCACAGGGCTGGATTATCCTGAACCAACTTCGAGATAACGACTGACAGAATTTATTAATTGCGGCACGGTAATGAGCGATTATGACAAGTAGAAAGCGTATCATGTGGGTATCACGTGACACTACTACTTGGACTCCTGATCATGTGACCAGCTGGGCATGTCAAGCTTTAGCTAGCCCTGATCACTAATCAGGGCGTGACGTCAGAGTAGAGACACATACAAACGCTTGTTTGTCACTCCAATACCTGTTCTTAATATTCATGCCAGCTCCATGTCTGTCTATCCGGGTGGGTCTATCACAAAGAATATAACAATTTACCGGGACCTCAAACATTTCCAAAGTCAAGTATCATATCAAGGATCAGATCATATATTATGGTAACGGTCTTTAAAATGGGCAAACTGTGACTCCAATTCTTCGGAATCCGGTTTACGATTACAAACAAATTATCTGCAAGTACATTATCCAAATTGAACCGTTTAGACTTTAAATAATTTGTTCCTGGTTTGAACATATTTTCCATGATAACAACTCACTACTATATGCGTGTCGCTTTGTCAAACATTTACTGATAGCGATAAGGTATAGAGAGCAGCATTTGATTAGAGCATGGTTTCTTGAAGTACATGTCAATGTTTTATGTAAAAGGCCAGCAAATGAAAGTATGGCCATCTTGTTGTGTAAATCACCAGCAGCTTTTCCCAAAACTAGAAGTGTGTTCATCAGTTGACGGTTTGGTTCGATCGGTTTTAGATATCCATGAATCATACAATTTAGGCCTGTTTTTAAAAATTTGTGATGTTAATAACCACCATTTATCAAAACAGCTCATTCAGAGTTTGCAAAAGCGATTATGAGAATCCAAACTTTTAACCAGTCGTTAGACCGATGAGGTGATGTCTGATATCCGGGTCAGGCTCAGAGTTGTATTGCAGATTAAACACGTTATCGTATGTGGCGGCAAGTATTAAGTGAATGTAAATGCTCGTAACACTAACGTTTATACTTAAATAATCGTCCAGCAGTAATTCTCAATAAAAAGGTAAAGCCGCTATCGCAAGAGCGTAAAAAATGGGGTGTGGCCTGATAAGTGAACAACCTCACGTGTGAGGACTTGCTCTACCCCGTAGGTTCAAATAAGTTCCAAAACCAAAACCTTAACATCCCGAGACCAAAACTTAAACATTGCTTTTATCGCCCCTCCTTTAAGATTCTAACAGTGTTACTGTTAGTAACACCATGCTAAAATGGAGGATAGAAATAATGACGACAACAAATAGCGAGGGTAGTAGTAGTAGCGAGATATGGTTTAATTGGGGCTCACAACGAGGAGCTGGTGCTCTCACATGGTGAGGTGGGTAGAAGGTACAGAGTAACACCTCTGGTCCCCTATTAATAATGAATTTCTGGGGAGAGAGTCCCTAATCCCTGATTTCCTCTCGTTAAATAGCCCGGTTGTCACCAGATTTGATAAGTTCCCATTGTTCGGGGCCCGTACTTATTATACACACTAATTGCACACCCCACACTCCATACAATCACCTTATCCTTGTGCTTGCTAGGCGACGGATGCTACGTCAGCAGCAGTCAAATTTAAATTTATTCAGTATTCTGGAGCAACAGACAGGGCACGTTGAAGGGGTCGACCATACGTCAGAGTTAATGTGTGGTGCACGGCACTCCAATTACTAGATGAAGACCTTTCCAAGTACAACTACAACTACAAGTAAGTACTTCTTTTGAGCCATACTCAAATTTCGATTATAATGTTGACAACATGGTAGTCCCAAAACTTAAAGCGTACCCACTACCGCATTACATTTAAAAACATGCACATTAAACGAGTGTTTAATTTTTGTCGCAAAGTCAACAATAACAGGTCGAGAGATATGGTAAAACCAAGTTTTCCGAAAACAGTACACAGTAAACGACACCCCGTTTCCTCGTCTTTATTTCACCCTAAAACCATCCCCTCCCCTCTCCATCTAAGCAACTCCACTCATCTCTTCTAGCTGCCAGTAAAATTGTGGGGAGTGTCGGGAATAAATTCTCAACAAAAACATAAACAATATAAGCAAAAGTAGAGTTTGTATAAAAGCTGCAAAGAAAGGAGTAAAGAAGAAGAATCTGCTAAATAGAATCCAGGTTATGAAGTGCAGATCCCCTACTAAGTAGAGTCTAGGTTATGTATTGCAGATCCTCTGATGGGTAGCGTTATCCACTATGAAGCTGATGATCTTTGCTTTCCATTGTATACGCACAATACTCCGCAAGCAATACCCACAATACCCCGCTGTCACTTATCCAATAATCTTATCGCAGTTATCAGCTACGGGTAATCACACGTCACTTGTCGTCCGACTTAACAGCCTGCTCCGCCTTTATTAATAGGTTAACGATCTGTTAGCACGCTTAAAACCTGTAGACATTATCGAATGTACGAGATGATTACTGAAATATTTTAAAGCTCCCTTACAAATCCCCGCTAATGATTTCTTCTCAACGCGTTTCTCTCAACTAAAATTAAAAGGAAAACGTGGTTTTATGTCCCTGTCCCTGTCCCTGTCCCTGTCCCTGTCCCTGTCCCTGTCCCTGTCCCTGTCCCTGTCCCTGTCCCTGTCCCTGTCCCTGTCCCTGTCCCTGTCCCTGTCCCTGTCCCTGTCCCTGTCCCTGTCCCTGTCCCTGTCCCTGTCCCTGTCCCTGTCCCTGTCCCTGTCCCTGTCCCTGTCCCTGTCCCTGTCCCTGTCCCTGTCCCTGTCCCTGTCCCTGTCCCTGTCCCTGTCCCTGTCCCTGTCCCTGTCCCTGTCCCTGTCCCTGTCCCTGTCCCTGTCCCTGTCCCTGTCCCTGTCCCTGTCCCTGTCCCTGTCCCTGTCCCTGTCCCTGTCCCTGTCCCTGTCCCTGTCCCTGTCCCTGTCCCTGTCCCTGTCCCTGTCCCTGTCCCTGTCCCTGTCCCTGTCCCTGTCCCTGTCCCTGTCCCTGTCCCTGTCCCTGTCCCTGTCCCTGTCCCTGTCCCTGTCCCTGTCCCTGTCCCTGTCCCTGTCCCTGTCCCTGTCCCTGTCAATTAACTGAATTCTAAAATACAAATTATATATTTTAATCAATATTAATGATTAATGCTAATCACAAAATAAACGAAGCTATTAAGTCGTATTCATAAAATTGGTATTTCGATCATGATTACCAGAACCATGAATATCAGAACCGTCGACTTGTAGTGCGATGCGTTACTGTGCCGCGCCGCGCAATCAATGAGGCTTCTCACAGCGACATAAATATAGATCAGCGAAATGCGCTACTGTGCCGCGCCGCGCCGAGCTGCCATGAATTGACATCGTCAATTAACCGTCGACGAGTCCAACTCGGCGCGCGTCCTGGTAGGTTATAAACCTACAAGAACGTACATCAACCAAAATTGAATGGAGAATCGTTTCAGAGATCACTTTCGAGGCACCTCGACAAAATAAAAAGTTCCCGATACCGTCAGAGTGTTCAGAACACTCCATTCTATCATATTATATCAAAACCTAAAAGAAGTCTTAGGGCTTTTGTAGGTTTACAACCTACCAGGACGCGCGCCGAGTTGGACTCGTCGACGGTCCAATATATGGAACAGATATTTTACGAGTATCACCCGTTAATAGGGCTTGAGCAGAAAAGTGTAATATTTGCCCGTAATTTGAAGATTTATTACCTACCAGGACGCACGCGAAATCAGAAATCCTCCAACAATAATGTGTGCAATTTGGGGAATGTGCTTTCGGTGGAAATATATAACCTGCGCCTTTAAATATTCAATGCATGTATTTAATTGATATCAGATACGAAATTATTAGCTATTTTGTTGTATTTTAATAACCTACCAAAACGCGCGTTGAGTTTGACTCGTTTGTTATTGTATCACATGGTGACCCCCACGGTCGCTTCACTATAGTGATACAGGGGGAGCCGCGCACTTCGTGCGCGGCGGGTCATACAACTTATGACAAGTTTGTTATTGGTTATAGCGCGATGCACTATTGAAGACTTCGCCGCTTCGACGCGCCGCGCAAACTAGCATTCTTGCTTCGTCGTCGATCGTTGCTCTGCTTCGCAGAGCAACGATCTCGACGGATTGACATCGTCAATCAAGATGCACTACTGGGCCACGCCGCGCACCAAATAGATCGGCGGATGCACCACTGTAATGGGCCTTGCCGACCTGTGAAGGATTGACATCGTGAATAGAACTCGTTTGTCGCTGATAGTTTTGGAACAAATGGTTTACTAATACCACCCATTATAATTATTTTGGAAATTTTTTAAAATAATATTTTAACTTTTTAAAACTGTAACAGAGTCTTAATTCTTTTATGGCTTCTAAAAACTGGAATCAGACTTTTGACCAAGGTTTGTGTAGGTTAATATCCTGCGAGAGGCTTCAGCCATTAGATTCAGCTGCAGCTTATATTAATGTAGTATAGTATATTATAGTATTATGTTTACAGTAGACTCGAGCGAGACTGCAATATAGAATGAGTATCTTAAACAGACTTTTGCTCTTTCGGAAGTGTCCCTCCTCAATTAACCCTCAATCATGATTTGTTGATCAATCAGCTGAGTCAACCGAGAATATGTTACACTAATTTGAAACTTCACTTAGATCGCGCGTACTAGTATTACAACTGTTTTGTTCTTGCATGGGTGATAATATTTCACTATTTTTGTGTTGTTTTTGTAGTTTTATCCTTTGCCTTTTAATATCTGAGATACTGTTTTTTAATTCTTTGTTTACATTATCTAGTTGGGATGGCGCGTTTTTATTTAGATAACTAATTGTGGGCCAAATGAGCTGTTCCCTATTTATTTGTTTTAATTTCTGTAAGAATTTCGGTTTAACTTAGGGAAAGCATAGAGGAAATCAGCATAGAACTCACTTTCCTAAAGACATATTATCCCTAATTTGGTATATCCCAAAAGCAGATTAGCATAGTGGTGATCTTATCGAAGCTTTCAAAGTTATTAGCGGTTTAGCCGATTATGGATCGGGTTTGTTCGGAATGAGCAGATCCGGTCTTAATCTGGTATCAAACATTAGATGCGCATGCATTAAGAAAATCATACTGGATATCTTAGGTTTAATCCCCATGTTGCTAAGAAACGTTTTATTAACTTATATAGTACTGGAAAGTATAATTAGGTAGATTTTTACTTGGTCTTTGAATCTAGAATTTTAGTTAAATTTTAAATTTTTGTAGAAACAGTTATTATGATGTGTGATGATGTTTGTGTCATTATTATTTCATTTGATTCGATTTATAGTGACAGGACCCTAAGATGAAATTTAAAGATGAAATGAAAAGTAAAGTAAATGAGATGATTTGATTTGATTTGACAAGTTGAAATTAGTACAATAAGTTAAGTTTACAAAGTGACCTCACATCAAAGGGAGAATATAACATATTAGTTAATATAACCCTGATATATAAAGGTGCAGTGTGTATAATAATAAAGTTGTCTTGAGCGTTGGCCTGACGTTGAGAGAAAAATAATAGTCAGCAGTTTTAAACTATTTTCACAACTACAATTAAATACATTTATTGAGGTGATACTTGCTTTTGGATGGCTTTAAAAAGCCGAAACTAGTCAAGGTCATTGCTTCTTGCTTCCATGACTACTTTCAATTGTAACAATAAAGAATATATGACTTGAATATATAATAATGCAGTGGATATCTAAACCACTGTATGTCAATGTTAAGTGTGTACAACTTAACAACTAAGAGGGGGTCAAAGATTGTTTGATCCACACTAAAGGGATGCTAAGTAAATTTATTCCCCTGTAGCTGTCATGTTTCATCAATCCCAGGAGTGAGCCAGCAACTTTGTAATGCCAATGACCATGGTCAATTCAGCAGAATGCAATGATCGAGGAACCAAGACAATAAAAGATCTTGAAAGTTTTAAGGGTATCCTTCAGTACTAATACGTTAGAGTTGTATGTGAACCATATCGGATTTTGATTGAATGTCAACTTAATATAAGGATTACTACTGCTACATAGGATCCAGGAATCAGAATCTAAGCTTTTCCTTTAAAATTCAATGGCTAAAATTTAGACCACTTTGAGGTCCACCATTGTGCAATATTGCCAACACAATAGAATTGGAGGATCACTCTGGTTGCACATACAAACTGTATTACTTTTTATAATATATATCATTTAAAAATGATATCATAACTAGGGTTATTACTTATTACTGATTGATTTATATCTTACAAGACTAACAAGTGATATGAGATTGATCTTTAAAATTCAATTTAGATGTGAAGTAAAGTCACATCAGAGATGAGCAGTGAAATACGCATCAGAAGTGCTCTTCGAGTGAGGATCGGTACGTAATGTATATATTTCTCTATCGAATAATTTAACTTCAAGAATAAATTTGTTAATACTCATGCTTTGAAGATTTATAGAAATCTCGAAAATGGGTTCACCCGCAAACATATCATGCTTTCCAGTTTATCATATTGTTAAAAGATTATTTTATTTTAATCAGTATGATACTGTTCAAATTGATTAATCTTAATTAATAAATCTCAGGTGAAGCAAAGAGCCTGCCCTCGAAATCCTGCAGAATATTGCCAGGATGTCCAAACACTTACTGTGTCATAAATCTTGACAAAGAGGAGCTTTTTGAAACTGAAATTGTCTATGGTACACCCTGGTTAGTGTAACGTATTGTGCAAATCATCTCACATTTTGACAACTGTTTGACTGAATTTTTAGTTAATTGTTCCTCTGAGTGAACTTTTTTTCAAATGGTAAAGACTAAAGAGCTTTTGTTGATACAACATGTTTACAAACTAGAAATTCAGTTACAGCAGATGTGATATTTAAACTGAGTACAAAAATAGGTTACTCAAAAGATTGATACAACATTAACTAAAGTAATGACCTGATGAAGGGTGTTTGTGGTGAAATATTGTTTGTGTTCACATTGAAAATATACGAGAAAATGGTTTGCTGAATATTTTCTGATACTGATAGAAACATTGCTCGTAGGCCAATTTGCTGGTTGAGGGTCACTACTTATAATGCGTAATTATATTGCACAATTGATTTCCACCTTTTCAATCTAAATTCTGATACAGTCTTCATGTAAACCTTGAACTATAAAACTCGGCAAGCATAACCTATTAAAGTGATGGTTATGATTTAAAAATTCACTTCCGCTAAATGGCTTAATTAACCACGTACATGAAGGAGTAGAGTATGCCAATCAACATCCAGGCACTTTTAAAACTTGAAACTCGTCAGAAATCGAATTACGCCCTCTCAAACATTCAGCTGATACGTCACCGCAAGGTCCCATACCGCGGGGCAGCATTAGAGCAGGCTGTAATCCTTGCAACAAGTTGTTGTTCCTACTTCCTACACAATTGATTTTTAACGTTTCTTGACCCGTTTTTGGTTTGCCCTGCAATTTTTCTAAATTAAAAACAGTTGCTAATTATTATGTTGATCACTCTTCTTTTATAGCTAAAAGTTTTGTCGATAATGGTGCCTTTCTGACATTATGCCATCATCCTGCGTTGTTGGAGGTTGTAGTCACAAGGTGGGAGACTCCTCACAAAGACCTGGGAGGGAATTTCAAATCCTACATGCCGTACCAAAAAACGGGAAGATGAGGAGGACTGAGGAGTGAGGAGGAGGATGAGGACTGAGGAGGAGGATGACTGAGGAGGATGGCTGAGGAGGATGACTGAGAAAGAGGAAGGGGAGGAGTAAAACTGAGGAGGACTGAAGAGAAGGAGGAGGAGGACTGAGGAGGACTGAAGAGGGGGACTGAGGAGGACTGAGGAGGAGGAGGAGGACTGAGGAGGATGGCTGAGGAGGATGACTGAGAGGGAGGAAGAGGAGGAGTTAAACTGAGGAGAAGGAGGAGGAGGACTGAGGAGGAGGACTGAATAGGGGGACTGAGGAGGAGGAGGGGAGGCGGAGGGACACTGAGGAGGATGACTGATGACTGAAGAGCAATGATGAGGAGGGGAAGGCGGTGGACTGAGGAGGAGGAAGAGGAGGACTGAGGAGGAGGACTGAGGAGGACGGGGAGGAGGAGGAGGAGTAAAACTGAGGAGGACTGAGGAGAAGGAGGAGGACTGAGGAGGATGACTGAGGAGGAGGACTGGGGAGGAGGAGAAGGAGGACTAAGAAGGAGGAGGACTGAGGAGGATGAAGCGGAGGAGGAGGAGTGAATAGGAGGAGGAGGAGGAGGAGGGGGACTGAGGAGGAGGAGGACTAAGGAAAAAGATGAGGAGGATTGAGGACTGAGGAAGAGGAGGAGGACTGAGGAGGATGACTGATGACTGAAGAGCAATGATGAGGAGGGGAAGGCGGTGGACTGAGGAGGAGGACGAGGAGGACTGAGGAGGAGGACTGAGGAGGACGGGGAGGAGGAGGAGGAGTAAAACTGAGGAGGACTGAGGAGAAGGAGGAGGACTGAGGAGGATGACTGAGGAGGAGGACTGGGGAGGAGGAGAAGGAGGAGGACTGAGGAGGATGAAGCGGAGGAGGAGGAGTGAATAGGAGGAGGAGGAGGAGGAGGGGGACTGAGGAGGAGGAGGACTAAGGAAAAAGATGAGGAGGATTGAGGACTGAGGAAGAGGAGGAGGACTGAGGAGGATGACTGATAGGGAGGAGGAGGAGGAAGAGGAAGAGTAAAACTAAGGAGGACTGAGGAGAAGGACGAGGAGGACTGAGGAGGATGACTGATGAGAAATTATGAGGAGGGGAAGGAGGTGGATGAGGAGGATGAAGAGGACTAAGAAGGAGGAGGTGGAGAAGGAAGACTGGTGGAGAGGATTGATGAGGAGGAGGAGGAGGTCTGATGAGGAGGAGGTCTGATGAGGAGGAGGAGGACTGAGGAGGAGGAGGACTGAGGAGGAGGAGGACCGAGGAGTAGGAAGAGGACTGAGGAGGGGAGGAAAAAGAGGACTGAGGAGGATCAGGATGACCCAGAAGGAGGACCCAGGAGGAGGAGGAGGACCCAGGAGGAGGACCCAGGAGGAGGAAGAGTAGGAGGAAGACTGAGGAGGATGACTGAGGAGGAGGGGGAGGACTGAGGAGGAGGAGGACTAAGGAGGAAGATGAAGAGGAGGACTGAGAAGGAGGGGGAGGAGGAGGAGGACTAAGGAGGGCTGAGGAGGATGACTGAGGAGGAGGATTGAGAGGGAGGAGGAGGAGCAGGAAGACTGAGGAGGAGGAGGAGGAGAAGGACTGAAGAGGAGAAGGATGAGGAGGACCCAGGAGGAGGACCCAGGAGGAGGAGGAGGAGGAGGAGGAGGAGGAGGAGGAGGAGGAGGAGGAGGAGGAGGAGGAGGAGGAGGAGGAGGAGGAGGAGGAGGAGGAGGTGGAGGAGGAGGAAGCATCTAAATGTTATTTCAATTTTGTTATTTTTTGTCCGTTTTTGTCCGTTTTTGTCCGCTCTATTTTTTGTCCGTTTTGAAAATATAGGGTACCGAACGGACAAAAAACATGAGCTCCCCCCCATAACAATAGTTAACTCATGCATATCAACCATTATAATGCGGAAATATGCGTGATTAACTCTCATTTTATGGGGCTAAACACTAATAAAACAATGGACCGACCCGCACTCGAGCCTCTGTAGAACCTTGTCGTGACGTAACAGAGTGATACTCTAAATGGAATTACAAGGATCAGGGAGTAAATCTGGGAGTGTAACTTTGCGTACGTGTTTAAAATGATGTTGTCTACCTATCAAGCATGAATTTAAGTAAAATAATTGCTAAAACCAAATCATAACCATCACTTTAACACTTTGGACACGATTTACCAAACCAATGATCAGATTATTCTTCAGTCATCTCTTCATAACTCAAGTTAAAACTTCCTACAATTACATATTCTTACTCAGTGAAATCACCTTCATTTTCGACTCTGTCAGTTAACTAATATGAATCAGATTATTCTTCAGTCAACTCTTCGTAAATCAAGCTAAAACTTTCTACAATTACTTACTCAGTGAAAACTCTTTCAATTTCGAATCTATGTCAACTTTACTGTAAAACCATTCATTTTCGTGAGGAGTTTATTTTCACGATTTTTTTAGGGCACAAAAATTCGCAGAAATTTGCGCTCAAAATGAAACTGAATGCAAAAATTAATGCCGTGAAGATTATTCATGTTAAGAAAATCGCGAAAATATCTGGTTTTACAGTAACTATTATTAGACGCACTATAAAGTTGTTGTACTGATCTTAATATCTTCTCTAAAAAGACTGACTTTGTCTATAAATGACAAATAATACTTTCAGTCCGTTTTTCTGTGAGCAGTTCGAGTTTGAGATTCCGAGAGCGTTCTGGACGATAGGATTTCACCTCATCACAACAGACACAACTTTCTCCATTACCAATGTCTCCACAATTGGCAAGGTATAATTTCAACTATCAAGCTTATAAACTTACACTTGTATTATATGATATATTTTTTCTTCCTGCTTGATCATTATGAGGATAACATCACCCAATCAAGTTAAAAGCTATGCACTAACTATTATGCAATTTGAGCCATCATATTGAGTCTGACCATGGGAAGGGTCCTCAGGTCTGAACATTAAGTAATGTAGTAACTTAGCGGGCGGCATGACATCACTGTGTGTACATTACATCACTCCATTACTTACTGGGCTCATCAAAAACAGACTATCATATCGTTCATATCATTAAAAAGTAAATGATATTGCTCATATTATAGATTAGTACCTTGAAAATACAGTTAGGGTACTGACAGGAGATGATGTTTTATCCATCAAACACTGGTTTCCGTTTTACTCATGTTGGTCGACTGTCAATGCTATGATCAACATATTATTGGCCATGATAAGATCAGTAGATAAGGAAATATCGAGGTGATCGACTTTGTGTTCATCTCATCCATTTTCATGCAAGTGGTCAAAATATGGTAGTTATTGCAACACTCCCCCCTAAATTGGGAATGTATATTAGGATTAGTGAACAATATTGGTCCGTACATGACACACCCTCAAATGTCACATAACATATTTTTGAGAGAGGCAGCTCATTAAGAACGTGTTCTATGAAGGAGCCCAACTGTCAAAATCTTCCAACCAGGAAAAGTGAGTTACATTTGAAATCTACAAAACACTTGATATGTGATCGTTGTGTGCATTTCTAGGGGTTTTATTGGTACTGAAAATGTAAGTGTAAGGCTTTATTGCTGTAAAAGTTCAGTAAAAATGCAGGAGCGCAGCATTATACGGGCTTTGAATGAATACAAGTAGAACAGCTTGTTGTAATAGAGTTTCTGTCACGCCTCTTTAGAGGGTTTAGAGATTGTGTCAGGGTGCTTTACACATGTGTAGAAATATAAGCGACACGTGGTTATGTTATAACAGTACTGTGTATATTATGTAGGGTTATACTAGCAAGTATATCTATACAAGATGGCAGGGCTGATATAACATGATATTATTATTATTATGTCAGTACAGCTGTGGACTGAGATGTCAACAGCTTTATAATAGTGTAGTATTGTGTGTAGTACTCCGTTACAATACTTGACATTATAGTGCGCGAATAGTGTGTGATACTCCGTTACAATACTTGACATTACAGTGCGCGAATTGTGTGTGATGCTCCGTTACAATACTTGACATGACAGTGCGCGAATTGTGTGATACTCTGTTACAATACTTGACATTACAGTGCGCGAATTGTGTGTGATACTCCGTTACAATACTTAACATTACAGTGCGCGAATTGTGTGTGATACTCCGTTACAATACTTGACATTATAGTGCGCGAATTGTGTGTGATACTCCGTTACAATACTCGAAATTACAATGCGCGAATTGTGTGTGATACTCTGTTACAATACTTTACATTACAGTGCGCAAATTGTGTGTGATACTCTGTTACAATACTTGACATTACAGTGCGCGAATTGTGTGTGATACTCCGTTACAATACTTGACATTACAGTGCGCGAATTGTGTGTGATACTCCGTTACAATACTCGAAATTACAATGCGCGAATTGTGTGTGATACTCTGTTACAATACTTTACATTACAGTGCGCAAATTGTGTGTGATACTCTGTTACAATACTTGACATTACAGTGCGCGAATTGTGTGTGATACTCTGTTACAATACTTAACATTACATTGCGCGAATTGTGTGTGATACTCCGTTACAATACTCGAAATTACAATGCGCGAATTGTGTGTGATACTCTGTTACAATACTTTACATTACAGTGCGCAAATTGTGTGTGATACTCTGTTACAATACTTGACATTACAGTGCGCGAATTGTGTGTGATACTCTGTTACAATACTTAACATTACATTGCGCGAATTGTGTGTGATACTCCGTTACAATACTTGACATTAAAGTGCGCACATACTAGGGTAATACCCCGATTTACCGCGGAGTTTTGGAGAAAAGAAAAAGCTGCGGTAAATCGGTATTTGCGATAAATCGGGGCTCGGTAAATCGGGGTTTTACTGTATAATGTGTTGTGATAAAATACTTAAAACAGTGCACACTATATAATAGTGTTGGTGCTACAATATTTAAATAACAATGCACAAATAGTTTCTTATCATGTTTTAAGGAGGCGCAGGAAAATAAAGTCTAGTGCTCTGCCTGCCCTAGACTTGTTCATGTGCCCAGGCTTCACGACACAGTTGGGATGGTTAATGATAGTGGCATTGTTTAATATAAATAGTGTAATATGTTATCAAAGGTATTGTTGAAGGAGAGATATATTATTTGTGAAAGTATTCGCTTCTGAGTTGGCTAATACATAATATATTCAAGATTCCGTTATATCATGCGAAACTTTTAATGCATCCAATAACTCAGACCACATACACCAAAAATCCTGATTTTAGGATTTTAGCGAGCAACTTGCTGATCAGCTGACTGTAGTAACCAGTTACCAGTAACCAGTATCTAGTAGCCTGTAACTAGTAACCTGTAACCAGTTTCAAGTTACCAGTAGCCAGTAACCTATAACTAGTAACCTGTAACCAGTTACCAGTTACCAGTAACCTCTACCAGTTACCAGTTACCAGTAACCTGTAACTAGTAACCTGTAACCTGTAACCAGTTACCAGTAACTTCTACCAGTTACCAGTTACCAGCTCACTGGTAGAGAAGGAGAGCGGAGAGAGAGAGGGAGAGATGATTCAAATCACGTACACTGGGATACACAGAAGCTGTCACCACACTGCTCCTGTGTTATCTCACACTACCACCTCTAATAACATCCTCATTTAAACGTGCACTCAGCTACACACAGCTACTAAATCATCTCTAATTTCTAGCTACAGTTTTGACATTTTCTTACATACAGCTTTACCAAGAAGGGTTATAACTTATTAAAAGAAGGATATGTGCTACACCGCTAAAAATCCCAGGCTTCAGCTCCAACCGAAAATGTCACTCCCTGCCTTGGCCAAATTTGACCATTGTTGATCACTGAGTATTATTCAGTAGTTAATAATAGATACACAGAATAAAGCAGCTGCAATAGATTAGAATGGACTTAGTTTAGAGTAGATAAGAATCTGCTTCTACTGGTATAAATATTGTGTTGAATTGTTTGTGTGAGTTGGTAAAATGGTTATCAGTTATAAATTAAGATACATGGATAATATGATAAGTGATAAGAAACGAGAATACCAGGTTTCAAGTTTCAAGTTTTGGAAAACTTGTTGTTCTATTTCAACTCTGCCGGCTGGTTGATAATACGGTAATAATGTCTAATAAAAGTAAATAATTTAAATATTCTCTAACACAGAGCAAACGTTACTATAACCAACATTTTAATCATAACCTAACAGAATATATTATAATTGACTAATGAGGCATGACGATAAATACTATTTGTTAACATGGCTAGATACTTAAAAATCAAAATAACCACCAGGATCCGTTTAGCTGTGTATAATAATGTATCCTGGTTACAAATCTAAAGATACCTCGCATTACATCACCAACACAGGGTTTAACAGGATATCTGCAGACAGCAACCCTGTTTAAACAGCAAGATTATTTCTGTTCCTTAAACTCCGCCCTCATGTAATAATACGTGCCGATCACACTAATAATTTACTGATCGAAATTGTATCACCAGTACCTCTGATGGCCTGATCAGGCCCAATATATTCCCAGTAAATGTAAGGATCAGGGGTGTCATATTATCACACAACCAGTCGCACGTGATAGACCGAGGTGACAATGAGATCAGTAGAATGTAGCCCTGATTTCACTCCCAAATCCACTGTTGAGTAGTACCCTCCACCTAGACATTCCTTCCTTGATGGTAGTTCTGTCAAATAATGGGAAAAGTGTACCATATTTCTCACATACACTCCTCCTATCGCTAAATCTTTGAATTAAAAACTAAATTACTGTTTTTAAGGGTGGCCGTGGGGTAGTTTGAAGTCAGATCACAGCGTTATTAATAGCAGAACCTGTGTAACATAATCATATTTAAAGCTACTGGAAATACAATTAAACTTATTCACAATAGTTTAGGGTTGATAATCTAGCTTTTAAATTGTGACTTAATAATCTTTCACAGGTCACTAACAATTTGCCATCTTCCTCCGTAAATCCAAATAATCAAACCTGTTAAAAACCTTCCTCCTTTTTGTACATGCTCTTCATTTTAGAAGCTGTGTTCCCCCTCTTCCATTATAACATGAGCTAATTTCAATGCCCTCTGCCGGTAAAAGTTCGTTGTTCATTCGAACGGCGCGGTGGTGTATCGTAATATATTGTAAAACTAGAGTAAACTCAGGCTCTATGAGGTCTCCAATTTAAAGGTCATTCATGTCCCAGTTTTACCATTTACATTTACTAATACGTAACACAATATTACATAGTAAAAGATTATAATTACAATCATGTATATTTATTGATTAATTACTCTGCAGGTGACGTTTACCAAGGACCAGCTAAGTAAGATACCCAACAAAGACCAGTGGTACGGACTAAAGAGTGTCAAATGTGACTCGGAGGCTCAGGTAATACTCTTGTTACTTTAGTTTCCATGTAACTGGTTACTGTATTAGTAACTGTAGTAACTATATTGTTCACTGTGGGGCGTGGGTATTGTCCAGGGATTTAATTTTTCGTGCACTAGAAGACTTCTTCACTATATTCTAAGTAACCATCTGTTTTAACAGTCCGGCAATTCACTAATGTTCAGTGTGGTTGAAACGGAGTGGTAACTCGATTACCAACTCTGATTTTATTTTAGTGTGTTGGTAGTACTACTGGTAGCATCACTTGCACTGGTAGTGACATCGCCTCCCTAGTTACACTACAGAATACACACACTACTATTTGATAAGGTCCCCCATTATATTGATAGGTCCCACATTTTGATTATATATTAAAGTCACTACAGTGTGCATGTGCAGAGAGATTATAATAATCCTGCGTATATTTTGGAATGTTATCAATCAAATATTGCCATTTCCAAAGATAACAAATATTCATGTCGTGGGAAATACCCATGTTTTAAATCATGAACAACTACAATGTTTTAAAGAATTTTTGAATTAAAACGATTATTCTGTGCACGTTTACAACACCACACCAAGACGTCTTGTAATAGCTTTACCAGGCTGTTTAAAAGTTAGCACAGCTGTAAACAAACGTGTTGTTTGTCTCACTAAAACAGAGCTGCTAATCATCCCCTCGTTATCCTCAGAATAAACACGGTATTATTGTGTCTGTACTGTTATTATAATATACTCATTTTCTCTGTTCACATGCAGTACAAAGGTACATCATCAAGTTTAGTACACTGATTAGATATTTACAGAGTAGACCTGTGTCATTCTGTGTCGAGAGTGTACTGTGTACGTGTTGGACTGTTGAAATCAAACAAGTAGCTATTTGTCTGATCAACTAATTGATTAATATACGATATATATCAACTTATCAATATATTGTGTATCTGATAGTGCATAAAATGATACCTATTAAGGTGTTTTTTCCCCTAACTTTACGGAGAGTAGTTTTACCGTACAGACTGTAACATACAAACAACAGAAGGTTGGGGTGTAATTTGAGAGCATAGGATTCTTAGGTCAGGAATATTCCTTACATTATACACGTGAAGAGTAAATACCGCATCTGTTTATTTGTTGATTGGGGGGGGGGTGTCACGTCCGTCTATGTCCGCTTGTCTCATAGAATCCAAAAAGGACAGGACATAGGCGGACATAGACGGACATAGGCGGACATAGGCGGACATAGGCGGACATAGACGGACATTGGCGGACATAGGCGGACATTAATGGACACCTAAATTGCTAAATAAAATGTTCAATTTTTGCTGTTATAGGCGGATCATGTTTTTTGTCCGTTCGGTACCCTATATTTTCAAAACGGACAAAAAATAGAGCGGACAAAAACGGACAAAAATGGACAAAAACGGACAAAAATGGAAATAACATTTAGATGCTTCCTCCTCCTACTCTTCCTCCTCCTCCCCCTGGGTCTTCCTGATCTTCCTCAGTCCTCTTCCTCCTCCCCTCCTCAGTCCTCCTCCTACTCCTCCTCCTCGTCCTCAGTCCTCCTCATCAGTCCTCAACAGTCCTCCTCCTCCCCAGTCCTCTTCCTCCTCCTGAGTCCTCCTCCTGGGTCCTCCTCCTGGGTCTTCCTCCTCCTCTTCATCCTCCTCCTCTTCCTCCTCAGTCCTCAGTCCTCCTCAGTCCTCCTCTTCATCCTTCTCCTCAGTCCTCCATCCTCCTCCTCAGTCCTCCCCCAGTCCCCCTCCTCCTCCTCCTATTCAGTCCTCCTCCTCCTCCTCCTCCTTCTCAGTCCTCCTCAGTCCTCCTCCTGAGTCCTCCTCCTCCTGAGTCATCCTCCTCAGTTCTCCTCCTCCTCCTCCTAGGTCCTCCTTCTGGGTCCTCCTCCTCCTCCTCCTCCTGGGTCTTCCTGATCCTTCTCCTCCCTCTCAGTCATCCTCCTCAGTCATCCTCCTCAGTCATCCTCCTCAGTCATCCTCCTCAGCCATCCTCCTCAGCCATCCTTCTCAGCCATCCTCCTCAGTACTCTTCAGTACTCTTAGGCGGACATAGACGGACATAGACGGACATAGGCGGACATAGGCGGACATAGCCGGACATAGACGGACATTGGCGGACATAGGCGGACATAGGCGGACATAGGCGGACATTAATGGACACCTAAATTGCTAAATAAAATGTTCAATTTTTGCTGTTATAGGCGGATCATGTTTTTTGTCCGTTTGGTACCCTATATTTTCAAAACGGACAAAAAATAGAGCGGACAAAAACGGACAAAAATGGACAAAAACGGACAAAAATGGAAATAACATTTAGATGCTTCCTCCTCCTACTCTTCCTCCTCCTCCCCCTGGGTCTTCCTGATCTTCCTCAGTCCTCTTCCTCCTCCCCTCCTCAGTCCTCCTCCTACTCCTCCTCCTCGTCCTCAGTCCTCCTCATCAGTCCTCAACAGTCCTCCTCCTCCCCAGTCCTCTTCCTCCTCCTGAGTCCTCCTCCTGGGTCCTCCTCCTGGGTCTTCCTCCTCCTCTTCATCCTCCTCCTCTTCCTCCTCAGTCCTCAGTCCTCCTCAGTCCTCCTCTTCATCCTTCTCCTCAGTCCTCCATCCTCCTCCTCAGTCCTCCCCCAGTCCCCCTCCTCCTCCTCCTATTCAGTCCTCCTCCTCCTCCTCCTCCTTCTCAGTCCTCCTCAGTCCTCCTCCTGAGTCCTCCTCCTCCTGAGTCATCCTCCTCAGTTCTCCTCCTCCTCCTCCTAGGTCCTCCTTCTGGGTCCTCCTCCTCCTCCTCCTCCTGGGTCTTCCTGATCCTTCTCCTCCCTCTCAGTCATCCTCCTCAGTCATCCTCCTCAGTCATCCTCCTCAGTCATCCTCCTCAGCCATCCTCCTCAGCCATCCTTCTCAGCCATCCTCCTCAGTACTCTTCAGTACTCTTCAGTACTCTTCAGTCCTCAAAATGTTTGTCCGCTAATGTCCACCAATGTCCGCTAATGTCCACCAATGTCCATCCAAGTCCGCCAATGTCCGTCCGGGTCCGCCAATGTCCGTCCGAGTCCGCCAATGTCCGTCCGTGTCCGCCAATGTCCCAAAAAACACGTCCGTTGTCTCATAGAATCCAAAAAGGACAGGACATAGGCGGACATAGACGGACATGACACCCCCCCCCCCCCCCCCCCCCCTTGATTAAACCAAATGGATCTGGAGGGGTTATTCTAGAAATGTATAACATATATATATATATTATATAATGTATAATGTATAAGTGATACGACAGATGGTTTAACCAACCGATGTGTTCTTCTGTAGACGGTGAATAATATATGAAGTAGGGAGAACTTATTCCATATTTTTAGTCCACTATGTTACACATTATGTACATTGCATTCTTTACATTTTTTACATTTTTGAATCTGCTTCTTGACCACCTCTGTAGCTGTCCCTGGCTTAGTTTACTCTGCTTCTTGACTCCCGGTTACGTGCTCAGGTCATTATACCCATGTGTATTAGCAAGTATACTCTAGTAAGTATAGCTAGATTAATAAGTTTTTCAACACAACCCGCCCAAAGTCCATACCCTCCACATCAAACACTACATTATATATTTAGAGTAAAATTACTGAATATTGATTAAAATAGTGAGCTTCCCCGCTGAAGATTTGAGCAAGTAGTTTGTATGTCACGTGTCTCTCTCTCTCTCTCTCTCTCTGCGCTCCTTATTTGGCTCGTGTCCAAAGTCAAGTAGTAATATGAACCAGGTAATTTATAAAGTGTCAACCATTGACAGGTAACCTTTAATTTGGATTCTAGTTAAATGAACTCAGTATAATAACCGAGCTGCTGCTGCGGGTGGGGTGTAACACACATCTCCAGACAGGTTTACAAGTATAATCCATTATAAATATTTCAGGGTAAAGCGAACGTGGCGATGTGCATTGCAACTGATAACAACGAATCTATAATCCTCCAAGTCAGGTGTGTAGTTCAACCTGCCACTTCTCTCAACCACATACAGTTACCTTATATGTATAATATTTAACCCAACACTTTGTAATTAAATCTCTCTCTCTCTCTCTCTCTCTCTCTCTCTCTCTCTCTCTCTCTCTCTCTCTCTCTCTCTCTCTCTCTCTCTCTCTCTCTCTCTCTCTCTCTATCTCTCTCTCTCTCTCTCTCTCTCTCTCTCTCTCTCTCTCTCTCTCTCTCTCTCTCTCTCTCTCTCTCTCTCTCTCTCTATCTCTCTCTATCTCTCTCTCTCTCTCTCTCTCTCTCTCTCTCTCTCTCTCTCTCTCTCTCTCTCTCTCTCTCTCTCTCTCTCTCTCTCGCTGGTACCTGTCTTCTCCTTCAGCTTCATCGGTGGTGGCTGAAAAGCAGAATTATTGTCATTTTACCGCTAAATATGGTCCAGGATTGAGGGGGCGGAGTTCTGTGATTTATATTAATCGGTTCTGACGGCCACCAGATTGTTGAGCTTACCATTTTAGATGTGATGTTATATAACCGTGATTATTGTGTGGAACATTTAGAACAGCCAAATATGGGTATGATTTGAGCTTGTATGAACAAGTCTTTGAAGTTGTGGGAGGTTAAAACATGGGTAATCAAGATGTAAATTTTAACTGGAATCAAAATATTTGTAAAGTTACGTTTTATAAGTTAACCAAGTAATAAGTTAATTAATTGACTGATCATGCTATCAATTATTGCTGACTTATTATAATATGTCAGGTTAAAAGAGTGTGCTAACCTGTACATGAGTGATCTGCAGAAGGTTCAGCCGTACGCTGTTTTGGAGATAGTGGGTCCTAATAACTCCATCAGGTATTTACTCAACAATAGTATTAGTTACTTACTGAAATTTATAGGTCATTATTATTAATAATATAAGTTGGGAAACAAGCGTAACTTTTCTATTTACCCTCGTCCAACAAAATAGAAGCGGTAAAATCAGAACCGACAGCAATGACAGACAACACCGCACAGACAGACAAACAGACAGACAAACAGATAAACACACAGACAAACAAACAGACAAAAAAGCAGACAAACAAACAGACAAACAAACAGACAAAAAATCAGACAAACAAACAGACAAACAAACAGACAAACAAACAGACAGACACTCCACAGGATCAGAGTTAGAGGACATAGTATCTGACAACATGTTTTGTTACAGGAGCCGAACTCAGGAGACCAAAACGTTGAGACGAAGTACCAACATGCAGTGGAAATCTCAAACTTACGAGTTCAAGGTAACCACTCTTTTGTTGGTAACTATTAGTAACTATTAGTTACTATGTAGTAGTAAGTAGTAACTATTAGTAAGTACGTTGAACTATATGTTGAACTGTTATATTGATAGTGAACTGAAAACACTGCAGTGGGAATCTCAAACGTTCGAGTACAAGGTAGTTAGTTATATGTTAGTAAGTTTTATGTTCGTTAGTTATATGTAGTTGGTTATATGTAGTAATGTAGTTATATATTAAATTAATTGTTTACATTGATCATAATATTGATTATGTTAGATTGAGATACAAGTTGTAATCATGTGCCAAGGCTTTGGTGTTCAGGCCTTCCATCTACTTAAAGGATTGATTTCAAGAAGAGAGTGATTATCTATTAATTATCTATTAATTCATCATTAAAATCGTTAATAAAATTAAAAATTGTAGCTCAACTAGAGAGGTATAATTATCACTATGAAAATTAATTGACCTAGTTTGAGAACAGCTGGTAGTATAATGTAAAGGATAATGTTTACCAACTCTCACCACCAAAACCAGGATATTTGTAGACGTCATCATCAGTAACCGTTCTCAAGTTCTCTCTACACACTCACACACACACACTCACACTCTGTTTCTGTGTGCTTCTTAATGGGTCGTTAACTTCCTGGAAGTTGTGCTGCAGTGTGACATCACTTTGCCAATGTGATGACGTCACTAGTTGTGTGATTACGTAATCCCGTGTTTTGTAATATTATGGCTACATTGGTGCTCTACCTGTAACAAACAGACAAAGAAATGGGCGGAAATAAAGCAGAAAATTGAAAAACTAGGCGCTGTCAGGTCAGCTCAACATTAATTTCCCTCTCAAGAGTTAGCTGATTTAAATCATAGCAATATTGTGAGGATATCCGTCGCCTTAACACTTTTTAGTTGAAACTGGTGACAAGGTCAGCTGCCCTAATTGAACCGTGCGGCGACTTTCTGCTTCGTTAACCATCCTCCGGCGACACTGGACTTGATAGGCTGATATATCATGACGTGATTTAGTTGGTGATTTTTGTAGTTTATAATACATTGAGGACACTATTTTATCCCTCATCACCCTCTAAAAACCAAACATATATCCACTAACCATATATTAACTAACACCGCTATTAAATAAAAACCACATCTCGACCACTACATTATAAGCCACTACTGTACACTACCTCTAATATCATGCCATGTTTATTTCTCCTTCCTCAGCGCTAGAGTATTAGATAATTCAGTAAAACTATTCTCGAATTTTCGGTCGTGACGTTTGTGCCGTACAAAGGTCAGAAGTTGTTGAATTGCCGATTTGAGTTGAGAATTTAGCAGAAATTCTGTGAGGAAGAAGAATCGTAAAGTGAATAATATAATAATACTATATTACAGTATATAATATTATATTGTATTATATTATAATATTATATTATAGTACACAATACACATGTACATAAGCTGTAGTTACAGTGTTACACACAGACATGAACACTTTAAGTTCATCTGGTTAGTGCTCAGGTGTTACTTGTACACTTCTTGTAGTTCTGTGTACAATCGAGAACGTGCGACTTCTATAATACAATCTCTTATATTTAATACATGATCATATTATTTTAATACGATCTGTCGTAACAGTAAATAATGATCATTGAAAAACAGAATTTGAGGTTGGAAATAAACCACAAAATACTGAATTACATATTACTATATTATTATGTTATGTAATCCAAGTACACTGTTTTTTGTAACCTTTTGTGCTTCATTATACTGAGTATTCGTTAAAAACATCAGACATATGTGCGCTGATGAAGTAGATATCTAAGATGAGGAGATGATATTTCCAAAACTCTCTCAAATAATACAGGAATAACAGATAAAATATTACAGTACACAATTTTTGTGTTGCTTGTTGCATGTTTTAGATTCCATGTTTAGCTATTTGAGGAGTTCAGATTGTCGTGTAGAGTTTAAACACATTTTATCGCGCTGGAAACAGCTCGGCTCTCTCAAATTAAACACGTTCAAATCTGCTCATGAAAATTATGAAAGTATCAGGTTCGATATTTTATGCACATCTATATTAATAATAATATGCGGCTTGTATATTAATACTGTGTGAATTCCAGAGAATGTACATTTTGTCCTGTACTACAGACTTAAAAGCAGATAAGTAAGAGATAAGAAAAAGTACAGTAAAACAAGCAGATTGGCACCAAGGAGTACCCCAGTACTAATGATACATTCCGGCCCCTTTGTTTAGTCTATTTGTAGGTACCGCGACTTCGTTTTACCTGAACGTAATCTATAGTTGGGACCGTGTTTTACCTGAAAGTGGCGTTTAGTATGTACATACATTAAGGAATTGTGATTTATAACTGGAAAGTTTAGTACTATTATAGCTATCAGAACACTTGCTAGTTGCTTTCTTGTTAGTTAACAAGGAAACTACTCCACAACTTCAATTTTAATCTAGATCCTATCCAGGGAGTAGTCAAGGTGGGGATGTAGTCAGGGTGGGGATGTAGTCAGGGTGGGGATGTAGTCAGGGTGGGGATGTAGTCAGGGTGGGGATGTAGTCAGGGTGGGGATGTAGTCAGGGTGGGGATGTAGTCAGGGTGGGGATTTAGTCAGGGTGGGGATGTAGTCAGGTGGGGATGTAGTCAGGGTGGGGATGTAGTCAGGGTGGGGATGTAGTCAGGGTGGGGATGTAGAAGTAAGCTAGAAAGGTATGGGTAATATACGGTATTAAAACCCGCACTAAGAATAGATTCGTTATAATACCTGGGCTGGGTTCATTATCCTACAAACTATACTTAGAAGGAATGTCTAAATTATATCCGGGCTGTATATTGACATAGAGAGCAACTCTCGTTGCGAAATACTTTTTTAGATAGCTGACAATTGTATAGCAAATTAGTTCCTTACCATCTTTTAAAGTTTCATTTTTGATTAAATTATTCTTAGGTTAAGAGTTTAAACAAATTTTATTAGAGACAGAAGATGAAACATATTATATACGGGTTTTGGAGAGGGAATGCAGTAAATATGTAAATTCTATCAGGATGCCAACAGAAAATCTAAATTTAAACAGCTAACACTCCCAAGCTTACTTTATATATAGTCTGACAATAGCCGAAAATTAATATAACCAACGCATAAACCTCTAAAGGTATAATAAATGAGATTTTCCGCAGAAAATTAGGTAATATACTAATATGCTAAGAGAAGAATGTTGTCATAAAATGTTCCTGTCTTGAATTTGCTGCAATATACTATATAATTTACTACCGCAGACAAGTTCCGCTCATAAAAAGTTGTTGTGAGACTAGTGTAAACTAGTGTAAACTAGTGTAAACTAGTGTAAACTAGTGTAAACTAGTGTAAACTAGTGTAAACTAGTGTAAACTAGTGTAAACTAGTGTAGTAGTAAACTAGTGTAAACTAGTGTAAAATAGTGTAAACTAGTGTAAAATAGTGTAAAATAGTGTAGTAGTAAATTAGTGTAAAATAGTGTAAACTAGTGTAAACTAGTGTAGTAGTAAACTAGTGTAAACTAGTGTAAATTAGTGTAAAATAGTGTAAAATAGTGTAAAATAGTGTAAACTAGTGTAAACTAGTGTAGTAGTAAACTGTGGTTTAAGCCCACGTCCAAAAGTTCCTAATTGTTAAAGTTCATCATTACCAAATTTGTAGACAGGCAAAAACATTGTTATTCCATTTCATCGCTCTAGTCATACCAAATTTGTACACAGTCAAACAACATTGTTATTCCATTTCACCGCTCAAGTCATGCCAAATATGTACACAGTCAAAAACATTGTTATTCCATTTCATCGCTCTAGTCATACCGAATTTGTACACAATCAAAAAACATTGTTATTCCATTTCACCGCTCAAGTCATGCCAAATATGTACACCACCAGCCATGAAGCACAGTTTGATGTTCTCTGTATTAAGACCCGTCGTTTATCAGCACAGCATTATCTACCACAGCACTGTAACCGTGTAATGTCTATCTACAGTACTATTATTGTATCTAGATATTATCTTCTATAGCTGCTGTTACAATATCTACTATGGTATTAGTGGAGTTACTAGACAATCGTCTCAACGCTTTGTTGAGAGGTGCCGACACAATGCAACTATTCACCTGTAATAGCCACTATCATTATAGTTACACGTATTGATAGTGGCAGTAACTCTGGCTGTTGCTAAGTGAGATAATATCTCAATGTATAAAGGTGTAGAGATACAGTGGTAGATACAGTGGTATCAGACTGTCAGTTGTAGTGGATCAGTAACATATTATTACGGCTAACTCGTTCAATGGGAATGTTTGGCAGGATGAACCACGAGCACATATTTGCGGGTAATTATGCGATCTGCCGCTTTCTGCTGAAACTTTCCGGCAAAAGTGCACTAGCGCTGGAGCTGGAAAGTGCACTACGGTAGAGTGCTGGAGCTGGAAAGTGCACTAGAGCAGAAGTTATGTCAGTTTTAAATCATTTTGAGCAAATTGTTCATGTTGGTTATATTCACATTAGAATGTATCCTTTGTAATTTGTAGATGCTAGTGTGGTAAACGCCTGTATTATATATTAGCACGTGCAAACTGATTGATTTAAGATGTGCACGTGTCCCAGATAACGTGATGTATTATTTAATCTTTATTCTGGATCCAGTGTAGTTAGTAGTATGTATGACGCACTGGCCAGTACATATTATAATGTAGCCAGTGGCCTATCGTGGGTTAATGATGCATCAAGATGTAAGATCCTGCGGTGTAACTGTAGTTTCAATACTCAGTATCTCAGATTCACCATGCTACCAAGTTACCATGTTACCAAGTTACCAGGCGCGGCCATGTTACCAAGTTACCATGTTACCAGGCCATGTTACCAAGTTACCAGGCCATGTTACCATGCTACCAAGTTACCATGTTACCAGGCGCGGCCATGTTACCAAGTTACCGTGTTACCTGGGCATGCTACCATGTGACAGTTCGTAATATCTGTGTCCTCGACCTTATAAAGACGCTATAGCCTATAATGAGCTGAATGTCGTTATTATTAAGACCAAATTAGGGGTCTACGTAGATTTAATGTTTGGCATGTCAGGTATTTTTCGTCGAATTTCTTTATTTCTTAAACACCCCTATTATGAACGTCACTCAAATATTAACTTGAACCAGCTGTGATTGACAAAAAGGCAGTTTGTGTGCTAAGTAAGATTAGTAGATAAAATTAAGTAAAGATACATATTGGTAAGAAAGCTACTTTTGGCAGTTTAAATATACGCATATTATATATCATGTAAATTTCAGTGTATAATTTTGGTACATTTGTCAGCCGTAATCTTGCACTGTCAAATGGCGTGTAATGTTTTAAATTCCTTGCCATATTTTAACATTCCGATCAAATCTAATTCCCGGTATTTTTAAAATTTTGGCTGAAAGCTGGGGAATTCAATTCGACAGTTTAAAACTAACTTTTCCCGTGTGTAGACACATAATCTAACATATAACTAATCAATATGTGATTAATTATGTACAAAACGTGTAGACATATTCAATTAAGAACACATGATATGCTGGATATATTACACCTGAATGTTGCATATCAGAGAGAGAGAACTGTGTGATTATCCTAAACTCACCAACATTATACTAGCTGGCTGGCTGCTGCTAGCTGCCTGGCTGCTGGTTGATAGCTGCCTGACTGCTGGTTGCTTGCCGCTGGCTAGTTAGCTGCCTGGCTGCTAGCTGCTAGCTTGTTGCCTGGCTGCTGACTGCTGGCTGCTTTATAATAACCAGGTTTGTTGTAGACCTTGGTCTGGTAATAATTAATGTAGCATGTTTCCCACTGTTGATGTGTGGTAGCTCTAGGATTGGTCAGCGGAGGGAGGCAGTGCGCACTTAACTTCCTGATCTGGTACAACAGAGCTGCTGTTACTGAACTACTGCTGTGTGGTTCTACAGACATCCACTCAGATAGAGAGCGTGATGTTAGATCTGGTGCTTAGCACTAAAACTGTGCAACTAACCTGTGAGATCAGATATTGTGAGCCTAACTTTGGCCTTTTGCCTTCACCAGGCCTTTTATGGTACGTGTTTCTTGAACAATGTGGTTAATAAACCCGGTCCTGGAACAGCACTATTTACTATTACTAAACGATCAAGAAACGCCCCCCAAACGCCCACTCCAATTACCAAGAAACGCCCACTCAACTGGGTTTGATTAATAAAAACTTCTGTTATAAACTTGGTCGTTTAAAAAGTTTGAAAGGACAACCGTGAAATGAAAATATGTTGCCCAATAATTAGGCGGGCGTGGGGCCCTTTTACTGGATAGCTGGATATAACGTTACCTAGTAACTGTTACCTTTTACATACCTTTATTTTTAAACAGTTACTTTGTCACCAGTTACCTTGTTTCCAGTAGAATAGTTACTGATAAAGAACTGAGATGTCTGAGATGGACCATCTAAAAATCAGTATTACATGTAGTATTTATAAATCAGTATGTGATTTGAAAATCAGCAAAAATCTGAGAAGGTTGTAAAATGTAACCACTTTAACAACCGTTTAACAAATGGTAAAGACCTGGGCACTGGATCAAGTTCTGATACCTTAACTTAACATCAGAAGTTCTGATAGGTGCCAATCCTAATCATTGTTACAGATCACAGCTCATATTTAAAGCTGAGATTACACCTTCTTTACTCTTATGTTATGTGTAATGTGTATCTTGGTCACAGCTGACAACAGCAAATACTTAAATTCCACTTATAATTCCATGACAAGCCAGACATGCCAATCAATACTAAGTAGTACTAACCGGCTCTGCCCCTCACCCCGCTTAGTCATTGAAAGAAGTTATTTTAATTTACGGGGCTCTCTTTAAAACTTCAAAAACTGACATGTTCATTTAAGCGACATGTTCATTTAAGCGACATGTTCATTTAAGCGACATGTTCATTTTAGCGACATGTTCATTAAACTGATATGTCAAAATATGACATTGGCCAGACAAAATTCGTAATTTGTTACATAAAATTGACGTCTTAGGTCAAAATGTCACCTTCTTTTCGATTAAAAAATTATTTTTATTGGAACGACAGCTAGGCCTCTCTCTCTCTGTCTCTCTCTCTCTCTCTCTCTCTTTCTGCATCATCCCCTCTCAATCTCAGAATATATCTTGACACGACCCTCCGAGTATTAAGAGGGATTGCCGTCAGTAGCTAGTTCACAGAGGTATTGAACTCTAAGTTGCAGTAGTGATGCCGTCAGTAGCTAGCTCAAAGAGGTATTGAACTCTAAGTTGCAGTAATGATGCCGTCAGTAGCTAGCTCAAAGAGGTATTGAACTCTAAGTTGCAGTAGTGATGCCGTCAGTAGCTAGCTCAAAGAGGTATTGAACTCTAAGTTGCAGTAATGATGCCGTCAGTAGCTAGCTCAAAGAGGTATTGAACTCTAAGTTGCAGTAATGATGCCGTCAGTAGCTAGCTCAAAGAGGTATTGAACTCTAAGTTGCAGTAATGATGCTGTCAGTAGCTAGCGCACAGACGTATTGAACTCTAAGTTGCAGTAATGATGCCGTCAGTAGCTAGCTCACAAAGGTATTGAACCTAAGTTTCAGTAATGATGCCGTCAGTAGCTAGCACACAGAGGGTTCTTCCATTACGTAGCCCCTGTCAGCGGCCTACATTTCTAACATACCAGCACTAATAATACCGGAACTGCAAATATGCACCCAGATCACACTTTACTGCATAGTGCACGAACAATTCCGCAACATCTTCACATAGTGCACGAAAAACTCCTCAATATCTTTACATAGTGCACGGACAATTCCGCAACATCTTCACATAGTGCACGAACAATAAACATTCCCATTTAGTGCACGATATCCTCACACATTGCACGAACAATTCGAACATTCCCGCATCATCCCCTCCTGGGAAACTTCACAATCTGCGGGCTGCTTATAACAATTCACTTACAGCCCCCATTCTCCGACTGTTATTGTTGTAGTTATTACAGCCTGTTCCGGGTACGGTGCACAATGTGCACATGTAAGGAACTGTCTGCAGTACTGTATAGTAAACATGCTGTAAGTTGTACTGTCTGTAAGTTGCTAGCTGTGTCTAGTTGGTAGAAATAATACTTTCCCGGCGTTTGGAAAAGCTGGTTGATAGTTTCTACAATAATAATACGTGTTTGAAAGATTAGTTTAAGAGATAAACCTCGGAAATGAGCGTGAAGATGCTCTCGTCACTACTTTGTTAGGACTAGCTGGAAACGTCAAAACGGGTTCTCTGTGTAGTTAAATAAAATACCGTAGAGTAGCCGTGAAGTAATACAAACTGTCAGTTTAGTGCACTTAATGTCACTCTCTAACACTGAACCAAACTTTACCGCCATTAGTTATGCTATTTATTATGTAATTTATGTAATTACTTATAGTATTATCCAACATGTTTTTTAATATTCCTGATGAATTGACGAATTATTACAAAGTGAACTTTGTCCCACTTTATGATATATTATACTCTATTTAATTAAACGCACCACAAAATATACAGCCGCTAGTTAGCAATAGCTATGTAACTAATGATGCATATCGTGAGGGTCGCTATAATTCAAGTAAGATACAGGTTGCTAGGATACAGGTAAGATACAGGTTGCGAGGATACAAGTAAGATACATGTTGCTAGGATACAAGTAAGATACAGGTTGCTAGGATACAGATTGCAGGTTGCTAGGATACATGTTGCTAGGATACTTGAAGTAAGATACATGTCGGTAAGATACGCCAGTATGTTGTGTGTAGCAGTGTGTTGGGCTGGTATTTGACACTTTTAACATTACAGCTCAGAACAGTACAGCGCACAACTCAGCACACTCATTAGGTTTCCTTATTTCGGTATGAGTCCTGAATTCTGCACATTAGTGGGCAGTTGTACCGTCTTCCTCCTCCTCATAATATGTACTTATCCGCTAATTTATTACTAATCGATAACTGGTTTATTAATAAATGGTTGCTTCATTTATTATCACCGACCTTATTCACAAATCGATAAGATTTATAATTGGGCTCAATCATACACAAGTTTATAGCTATTCAGCTTGTTAAATATACACGCTCAAATTAAGTTGTAAACGATAAACACACGCTTACAGAGGTAAAATAATGTGCGTAAGTCCAGTGAGCTGGTTTAGTCAAATATTTGAGAGGGTGACATCTCGTTACTTTAGAACGACATCTCATCATCATCCAGTATTATACATACCTGTAATACAATATCAACGGGTCCGGGAGTGTGGGGGTAATATTATAGTATTTGTAAGGCATCGTGACGTGTAAATATTGGTGTGATAAAACACGCGTGTGTAATGTGATAACACGTGTAAATATTGGTGTGATAAAACACGCGTGTTTAATGTGATAACACGTGTAAATATTGGTGTGATAAAACACGCGTGTGTAATGTGATAACACGTGTAAATATTTCGGTTATCAAATTCAAAACTTACCGCACCTTTTTTACTAGACATCTTTTTTACTAGAAACCTTTTTAATTAAAAAATTTTTCTCGCAAATGTTGCGTAAAAAGCTTTCTTACGTACTTTTTTCCCAAGAAAAAAGTTTAATTAACGACCTCCATGGTGATTGGAGGCCCTTAATTAAACTTTTCGTAACCTATTTCTTGAGAAGAAAAAATACGTAAAAAAGTGTGTAGAAATTCCCCACATAACACTAAATTACAAAATTTTCTCTAAAACAGTGATATTTCAGCTGAACGACATTTTGAAGAGATGTAACAGCGACCTGTGTAACCTCTCCCTCAAGTAAGTTAATTTGTAATATTATTGCATATTGTGTATTTATTAATTACTAATTTTATTCTAGTCACTATACGCTATAATACAATAGCGTAACTCTATTTCACAGAGCTAATAGTCCCTGTGTTCCGATCGTATAGTGAAATACTAAGGACACTTCGTAACATTGATTATCTAATGATATCCTTATTTACTGTGTCACTTTTTAAAGGAGTTAAGCGAGAAAATTACAGTTCATAAGAGTAGAGATTTTGTCATTATTTGAAAAGTCTCCAATTTGTCACTCCCAATAAGAATCCCCACAACTCTGTTGATAATGCTGCATTATCAGTCAGGGGCCAGTCATAGTCAGTCAGGGGCCAGTCACTGGCATCTACCTTTCTAGCACCCCTTTCTTTAACTATATCAGCTATATAAAGACACAGTATTACACTGCATGAAACTGTCTAAATGTTTCCACTACCCCTCCTGAGAGCACTGTCTGGAGATCCCACTGTCTAGCAACTTGTTGATGTTCCGAGCAGGTGTCTGGTAGACACCCAGCCTAAACTCTATTTCAGAAGTTCACTGGCTTTGTACGTGCGGAAAACTAAAAGCGGATAGAAGCTAATTTAAAATTAAGTTTTATTTAAAACTTATATATAAACCCACTATCACACTATCTAGTATATTAACTTATATATCTTAACTTAGTAGTTCACATTAATAAGTAAATAAGAGTATAATTATTAAATGGTTGGTCAATGGTTTAAATATTGTTAAACTTAAATTAGTTCCCCATGGCACGCCCTTACTCGTCACGCTGTTTAAACTATCTCCAATGATACACATAACAAGAGCTGAGGCTGAGGCTGGGGAGGGGGGGGGGGCTTATTTTAACTGCAATAATAATCTTCAATTCTAGTTGTTAGTTGTAGATCTTGGATGTCGTTAATTCTAATCTTCCATGGATGACTAATTTGGAGAACAAAAAAATTATTGCCATATCTTTTGCCGTTATATCAATATGAGATGAAACCAAAATTAGTCCTTGCCCGATGCCCCCCTTCCCCTTCTGATAGCCTACAACCAAACCCTTACAAATACCATAGTGATGACTTTTTTGTTGATACTCACTTGAACTTTTAAACTTTTTCACTGCAAACTTTTACAGTTATACCTATTTGCTCCTTCATAAAGTTTAGAGGGTTGTTGTCAGAGTATTATCGTCACGCCTTGTAGGACTTTGTTCAGCTAATGTGCTGTATTTATGAAGGAGCACATGTGTTCATGTGCTGTTGTTAAATGTGAAGCCTAGTTGGGCGAGCTGTTACACATTCTAGTAAGAGATTTACGGGACAATAAATACCGCAGAATTATAAGTCTGTATGGTAGTATATTGACGATTTTAAGAAAGCCCCACCTCCTGGATTATTGAGACCTGCAGAATATGAAGCTGCATTCAGTTTTGGTAGGAAAATCTGAAGTTGCTTTAGAACAAATCAAACTTCATCCAATCATCCTCTGATATAACTGGTTCCCAAGCAACTGGTTGCCGAGTAACTGGGTGATAAGCAACTGGTTGCCGAGTAACTGGGTGATAAGTAACTGGTTGCCGAGTAACTAGTGCTAAGCAACTGGTTGCCGAGTAACTGGGTGATAAGCAACTGGTTGCCGAGTAACTGGGTGATAAGTAACTGGTTGCCGAGTAACTGGGTGATAAGTAACTGGTTGCCGAGTAACTGGGTGATAAGTAACTGGGTTGCCGAGTAACTGGTTGCCGAGTAACTGGGTGATAAGCAACTGGTTGCCGAGTAACTGGGTGATAAGCAACTGGTTGCCGAGTAACTGGGTGATAAGTAACTGGTTGCCGAGTAACTGGTTGCTAAGCAACTGGTTGCCGAGTAACTGGGTGATAAGTAACTGGTTGCCGAGTAACTGGGTGATAAGTAACTGGTTGCCGAGTAACTGGTTGCTAAGCAACTGGTTGCCGAGTAACTGGGTGATAAGTAACTGGGTTGCCGAGTAACTGGGTGATAAGTAACTGGGTTGCCGAGTAACTGGGTGATAAGTAACTGGTTGCCAGATAACTTGTTTCTTAGCAACTGATTATTAAGGGATGTGTGTGGTATTTTGAAGAGGAAAGTAAATCAACACCCTGATCTGCAGGACGTGATCTAAGATTAATGTCACATCACGTGACATTAATGTCACATCACGTGACTTGGCGTTCTGTCACGTGGTGTTGTGTTATCTATGTGTTAAGTCTTGAGAGTTGAGAGCTTGTTCCTTTTTATTCTACTCATCTCAAATATTAAGGCTTTACAGAGGAGATGCACAGATATTTGATATGCATAGAGAATAATTCTAGGGAACTGGAGGGCTCCGGATTATTCTGAGAGCGATATTCTGAGTCTGACAGCCTACTGCTCCTTCATTAATTTAGGATTCAGTGTTATTAAATCCAGAATTTTAAAATACAGGGCTGTCATCTATTACGTTTAGAGGTAAATTCGCTGACAGTATATTATGATAACAGTAATATGTAATTTATATAAAGATAGAATCAACGTCTACCAGTCTGTATGACTATGTATTTAGGATATACAAATGCCTTGTAAATATTAACTATATAATATCATAAAGAGTTATATTGGATTGTACATAATAACATTTTGAATTAAGTCCCAATATTTACAGAGCACTATAGATAATTCAGGGTAACCTGGTAAACTGGCAACCTGTCCATCTCTTATATAATTTGTTTGTCTTCTTGGACAGCATAATAATTGAGAAAACTCTTTAATATAAGCTTAGTTTGTGACATTCTAATGTTCCCATAAATATTAAATAGAAAACTCTTTGTTAGGCAATGAAAGGCAACTTTGCATCTAGTAGATCTATGTAAACGGCACTTAACAGCTATTTTCTGCTAACAGGAATAGACTTCAACTCTCTAGAGACAATGTATTGCTACTGCTACTATACTGGAAAATGTATCTGAAGTAGTAGTAACTAGTGCTACTTATCTTAAGTAACGAGACAATTGAAACAACAATTGAAAGCGGTTGTTTCAGCTTTGATACTCAACCTGAGAAATTTTAGAGTTATGATATCTATAATTTTAACTCTAAAAATAATATAACGAAAATAGTTAATCTCTAAGATTTGAAACTTTTCTTGAGAATGGACAACTTCTCCTATTATGAGTATTGTAGAACATCGTTGTTTGCTATGTGTTTACCTCATCAAGCCAACAGTAGCTGACATTCGAGCAGTGACGACACTTTGCAGCTAGCTATGAAAATACAGATCAAGTTTAACATTTAAGTCAAGTATCTGACCGTCAAATATTACACATACTAGACAGGGCCCATATAATATCTCACTGTATTTTACATCTGATATTATGATATCATTCACTTTATCCTATCTAGAATATGAAGAGTTGGGCGAATCTATTTTTAGAAACTCATGTCATAATATTGGGGGTGGCTCTGTTGCTGGCTCGTACAGAAAACTCTGATATCTCCAGCTCACAGTAACCAAGATTACTTTAACGTAATGTGTAGTGTATTATATTAGTGTATTCTCCGGGCTGGCACTGTGAACTGGGGTGGAATGTTTGGTATTTTAGTAATGAAGTCCTACAGAGTATGAATACTTAACAGTTTCCCACGCTTTCTTTCGGGGATGGGACATTTTGCACCGTATTAAACGGTAATGTAATTTCTGGAATGGTTTACTGCGTATTGGGTTACTGATTTTCACAGCTTATATTGGAGCTGTTACATCATGTGATCATGAGTCTGAAAAGTGTTCCTTGTAGAAGAATCTGGTTACTATTTGGGGGGAGCTAGTAGAGTTAGTGCACTATAGCAAGAACGTTACTGTTCATGCGAGTTTTAAGTAGATATTCTCAATTCTTATGAAGTAGATATTCTCAATTCAAATGATTTTAAATTATAGCAAAGAAATATATTACAATATCTCTCTCTCTAACATTCCACTCTCCTTACCAGGGTAGATTTCTTCCACCACAACGGAGTGTTCAGAGAAGGCACGTTCCTGGGGGAGGTGATAGCTGGACTAGCTAACGTTTCCCATTCCTGGTCAGACAGATGGTGAGACTATTGATCCCACATTTCCTTTACATTAGAACACCTTACTCTATATTAGAACACACTTATTAGAACACCCTGTATTTTACACTATTGTAGATTGACGTAAGCTTTTTGTCATACCAATTCTGAGAAGTGCGCGCCCCGCCAGAGCGGTATTCCAACATTCCTAGACCCTTTATATTATATCTGTCTGTAAAATGAAGCAAAAGAAGTGACATTCTCAGCTAAAACGAGTTTAAAGTTTTAACCGTTTCCGTTTCAAAATATTTGACCTCCAAAGACGTAACACGTTTTTAAAGTCGGCCTATTTCCGTGGACGGCCTCAGCAATTCCGCTATTTCAGGCCCTGATTCGTATTATCTATACACTACACCATCAACAATGCCAGAAATTTTAGTGGAATTTTTGCCCTAATTTGACGACAAGTTTCAGCATGTTCTAAAAATACGCCTTACCTAAGTTAACATATTGTTCTCGTATCTTGTTAATATCACAAGTGTTATAACATTACATTCCATCAGGTATTTTCTCTGTCCAAAACTTAGTGATATCATAATACAGCCTAATCATGACCTGGGCTCACTTCGGTTGAAGATAGAGTACAAAGAGGACCACATCTTGCCCAGTACACATTACGAACCATTATTACAACTTCTGGTTAACTCTCTCAATAACCCAGAGGTAAGAAAATATCTTGCATATTTTGTGTTGATTTTGTGTGTATGATTACTAATTAGCGCGTAATTAGTGTAAATATATCTGGTATGTTTATTATTTAGTGGTATATTTTACTTATGTTTAGTGTAAGTTACTGTTCATTACCGACAGTTACTAGTCTCTTAATGTGAAGTAACTGGCCGGTGAGATTAATTGTTCAAGTTGGGCCACAATTAGCTCAACACGACGTATCTAGTCCAGATCTCAACTATTTCCTCTTCAAGTGGAACTGGTTGTGCTTACTGAACCACGCCCACGTAAACTTAATTCTGGTCCACTGAGAGGGACCCCTAACTTGAGAGTAATAATATGCTCCATGTGCAGTTGCACGGGGCACTGAGCACGCTGTATTCATGAGAACTCTCATACCTTAACAGTTAACATATTAAATATCTGTATAAAAAAAATATTAACTAGAACATGCTAGAACTTTTATAAAATACTAACAACTCTGACGTTTATTTACAGGATATAGAGAGTAGCGTGTTGGTATTAACCTCCACTATGTTTAACGAACAACTTATAAACATTGCCCAAGCTCTCGTCAGAATATTCGCACATCTTTACCGGGTAGGAGATATAATTTAAATTATTACTACTAATTCACTAATTGTTCGTTGTAGTTCTAGAATATGTATGTGTACTTGTTGCGTAGTTTAATATAGCTTATATCGACCGTTTATGTAGTAAACGCTATTGGTCTCACTGGGCCGCCTCGCGTACAGAAGGGGGCAAAACAGAGAGGACATATGGAAATTACTCAGATAAACATAACACCGCTGGGAGATGGGAAGGTGTAATGATTTATTTTTAACCTGAGGGCAAAGTCCGAGATATTAATTTGCCATCACAAACCCTGAAGTCTGGTGTGAAAATTAGAGGAAGGTCTAATGAACTAATCTGTAACTAGTACAAAGTAGCCACGAAAGCCTGTACATTCTCGCTCGTGATAACACAAGCCCTGCTAAGTTTTCTGCTATGTGATATTTGATACTGTGTTTTGGTGCGGTTAATTGCTGAAGCTGCCAAATATTCTTCATGTGTCACTGTGTTGAGATTAACATATCTTCCTTTTTAACATACCTCCCCTTTTACATACCTCCCCTTTCAAATACCCTCCCTCAACATACCTTCCTTTTCACATACCTTCCATTACAAATACATTCCCTTTTTAAAGGCAATGCAATGTTAAGACATACCTTCCATAATGTTAAAACATACCTCCCCTTTCGCATACCTTCTATTGATCTCCTCATATACTGACCATTCACATACCTTGGCGTGCATACTTTCATTACAATTTAGTTCCAACTTCCGAATAATATTTTACAATTTGAAATAATTTCAGGTAGAAGAATTGTTGTTGAGTTTAACGAATCTTGATATGATAAAAACAAGGTATGTTGATAATATCTAAATCTCTAAGTGGACTTTTATCGATTTTATTTTTCATTAAAATCTTAAACTGCAGCACAATGTCAACTCGCTATCTTTTATGGCATAATCTCAATGTACTGACATGTATACAGTGTCTCCATTAGTGAGCTTATTGTACACTGCATTTACAAGACATCTCCCCCCATTACAAGTGTTAAAGTAACTGATATAATATGTGTGTGCTACATTTAATTTTAGTACAAATACCTTCGTATCTTGTAAGTACAAGTGAACTAGAAAATATGCAGTGTCTTGTAGGTATCTCAAAGTCACTTAAATAAAATGGTTCACCCACCAGCAATTACATATTATAAGCTCAACTAACAGTCGTATTTTCTGGATACACTCACACTTATTGTCCAATGGGGAGCGACGAGTCAAAAATCACGTGACTTTTCTCGGCCAATAAAATGCTGGCATTTAGACAAGACAATCAATCAGAGCGTAGCTTTAAGACCACCTGACAGGCGAACAGCTGGGGTCCAGTAAATTACTGGTAACTTCGGCGTGGGCGCGCCTGTAGTCGGCTTCAAATAGGGTTTACAAGTGTTCAAATTACAAGTGAAACTTACGTAACGTTATAGAGGTTTCATTCCCTCGCGGCATACTAAATTTGATAAAATATTAGTCGGAACTCTTTCTTTGGAGACTTATTGATGCTTGTTTTGATTCTTCAAAAGCGAACGGAATCCATATTATATTTAACACCATTTATCCCATTTAGCAACCCTAACACCCTCTTTCGGGCGAATTCCTTGGCAACCAAAGGAGTTGACGAATTAATGAAGATGATTGGTCGACCTTATCTCCGGAGAGTCCTAAAGCCGAGCCTTGATACGGTAATATTCCAAGAATTTCTTTCCGTATTTGTCTTACAAAGTACAAGGATTCTATCTTTAGGCATTAGAGTAAACACCCTTATATTATATATACTGTTATATTGTTTACTGAACCAATGAGATGAGCTCTGCCGCACCCTTCCACCCTTAACTATTGCTAGTTTTCTGTTTTATCTGCTGTGAAAGTCAACTTCGCGCGTCAGGAAATCTGCTGACGCGCGCGCGTACAAACGTCGCGTACGGACGTGAGATGTCCCGTGAGTGTAACTCATTTAATGCTTGTAAAAGTCATTTGGGCGTGTCTGATGGCTGTTGACACCTCCGTGACATATGGTCCACTTTATCTCCTTACACAGTGTTACTATATCAGTTATTGGGCCACAAGGTAATAATGGGCTGTGTAGTAGCTGTTGAAATTGGTAGACAACTAAGGAAATATGTCCTATGACATGGAAATAATATTTCCCCGGTATTCAATACATGTATTACTGATGTGTCGGGAATGCCACAGGTTTCTGGTTGGATTCTTCTTACTGAGTGATAGTATTTTTTGCCCAAAAGCAGCGGTGATAGATCATGGACACTGTTTTCCTTGCGAAAGTAACACAACAAAGTCCACCAGTAGTTCTTGTCGCCAATGCCGACTATTTTATTTCGCACTCATTGATTCAAAATATATCAACTTATCAAACCCCTATAGGTAATATGTAGCTTACTATATTCTCTTTACCAGATACACAAGGAGAACCTTTCGTGTGAGATAGACCCAGCCAGATTGAGATCTAGTGATATCTTGGAGTGTAATCTGGACAACCTGACTCGTAATATCGACTCAGTCTACTCGGCTATAATCAACAGTGGGGGAGATTGTCCCTTCACCCTCAGTTCGCTTTTCAGCAACCTTCAGAAACAAGCCATTCTACACTTCCCCGGTACCTTGTTCTTCTACTTTTTTTCGGGAGATTATCATCCCTCCTCCAATACTTAGTAGTTTTCTGCTTTGTCAAAGTTCCAAAATTTGACTATTAAATCCAGTACTGACAGTTATTTTGGTGCTATGATGGATTTTAAAAGTTGACCCGTTTTCCCCTCAGATGTGAACGATATCAGATATACTGCAGTCAGTGGTTTTATCTTCCTCAGACTGTTTGCTCCCGCAATACTCAACCCAAAACTCTTCCAACTACAGTCGCGCAGACCTGTGAGTAGTGATAATATCTTTGTGTGTATGCAAATTGTTTCGTAATTTCGTTTGGATCTTTGAAATTGAAAACAGATTACCACCTGCCAAGTGGTGAGAAGTGGCCAAAAAAACGCGCAAGAAGTCAAACTTCTCTAAATAAGTCGATGGTTTACACTATTACAGTACAATATCGCTTTTGCTAATTTTGAAACACCCTTCAGAGTAGAGAAACCAGCAGAACGTTGACCCTGGTCTCCAAAGTAATCCAGAGTCTCGGTAACCTCGACACCCACCAGGCCGTAAGTTCTACATTTAGAAAGCATCTTTTCACCGTTTTTATTCCAAGTTTTAAGATACTTTTTCTAACAAAGATCGAAAAACTTTGGTACAGCTTTTTTGGGATGCTAAATCTACAAATTTTCGTCTCAAGCTGTTCTGATTTCTACTTGTCCTTTATAATTGTACTTTCTTGAACTTATTTTCATTCAAAATGCATGTTTCGTATTTTTAGATTTCATTTCTTATTGCACGCATCTTTTGAATGTGTAATGACTGCCTTTAGCTTGCAAGCAATAGTCACTCTGCAAGCGATAGTCACTCTGCAAGCAATAATCACTCTGCAAGCAATAGTCACTCTGCAAGCAATAGTCACCGTAAGCAATACTCACTCTGCAAGCAATAGTCACTCTGCAAGCAATAGTCACTCTGCAAGCAATACTCACTCTGCAAGCAATAGCAACTCTGCAAGCAATACTCACTCTGCAAGCAATAGCCACTCTGCAAGCAATAGTCACTCTGCAAGCAATAGTCACTCTGCAAGCAATAGTCACTCTGCAAGCAATAGTCACTCTGCAAGCAATAGTCACTCTGCAAGCAATAGTCTTTCTGCAAGCAATACTCACTCTGCAAGCAATACTCACAATGTATATCAGATACTCCGCCAGGGCAAGGAGAAGTATATGGAAGCTATCAGTCAGAGAGTACTTGACATGAAACACGTCAACGGAGTCAAACAGGTAAAACCTTTGATAATATTTTCTTGTGTTTACCTTATTAACGTCGAGGAGCCCATAAGGCACACACACAGTTTGATTTTAAAATAGTATACCCATGACATGAGATTAACGATTATTTTTCAAACATATGCTCTCAGTTTTATTTTCTCCTCACAACTTTTGCTGCCCGTAATTACATGAAGTATTTGCGCGCCCTCTAAAAACAGCCCTTCTTTTAGTTTCTAGAGGACGTATGCAAGACAGAACAGAAGGACGACTCATCCTCCAACAACTACAACAAAGAAGGGAAGCTTGTAGAATACCGTTTAGCAGGGCTTATAGGCCGGGACTATAGTAACAAGAGAAAGAAGTTATACAGACTCAACGACCAAGGCTTTACTTGTCTCAGATATGATGGTCAGTGTACTTACATCTAGTATAATAGGTGTTCAATCGTTCGATCAGAAACCAAAAATCTAGCCTCATACTGTTTAAACCTAGTTGGTAATATTGATAAGGCCCTTTTATTCAGAATCGTACACGATAAAAAGGTCCGATATAAAATGTGTCAGCAGAGTAGACGAAGACGCTTTCGGAGTACCCCATATTTTCCAGATTATACATTCCAAAGGTAAGAAAATCTCACTTTTTGTCGCGCAATTTATGAGATGATTTAGACAATATCTGCAAAACAGAGTCCTGAATTATATTTTTATTAAGTTATAATTATACATACATATACAGGGTGAGTTCCCTGAGTTGAGAATAGTGTGTAAAATGTGAATGGCTCTATTTTTTTTGACAAATGAAATTTTCACTTAATTTTCACATATTTAGGTAATGAAAATATAAAAATATTATAATGATACAATAAAAATACTTAATAATTAATAATTTGCTCAACCCATCGTCCTTTATTAGCTAGGACATTATACATAATTATATGTATAACAGTAAATAAGCTACATGTCCCGGTAACTAAGCTCTAAAACTCTATATCCCAGTAACTAAGTCTATATTCTGGTATCTAAGCGATAGAGCAAGCTCCAGCACATTGGTTGAATTTGACACCCTCGCAGTCTGAGTCAGTAGTACACGTGGTGTTCGCGCCACGCAGCCAGCACCACTCAATATCCCACATTGAGTGCCACTCTGTATTACATGTTCCTTCCGGCCCGTCCCATGCAATCGCACTAGCTCCTACCAAAAGTCATTGTTAATCGTAATTGGTCATAATTTATCCACTTTTATTGTAATTAGTCATAATTTAGTGATGATTAGTGAGTATAATAATAATATAAGTCATAATTTGGTTGGTTGAACATTTTTTGCAACACTATACCAGGTGGATGACCGTAGAGATCCGTAAAAATTTAAAATTTATCACAATAAGCTTCTCAATATTTCAAACTGTGTTACTAACCATTACATTGTGACCAACACTTAAAATTAAGTTTGTCACATCCAAACCAACACAAATTTTCTTCGTTACAAGTCCACCCTTCGTTTACCAACCCCGGGTTACACGTGTCGTACGGGTAACGACCCTCCGAAAAACCTACTGAGAGATTGACGGTGTTAGGTTAGTAACACTCCTCCGCAATACCCACTGAGAGATTGACGGTGTTAGGTTAGTAACACTCCTCCGCAATACCCACTGAGAGATTAAAACTCACGTGTCTTTTAAATGTTTACACAGTACTCACAGATCACAAGCAAGATAATCAACATCTTCACCATTTCGCCGTTATCGTGTTCCGTTAATTTCCTGTTATCTTTAACTGCTAATTTGAATAGTTCATGAGTGTTAACTAAACGGTCAGTGTTACGAACTGGGTGAATATTTATTATGATCTGTTGTGCACTGTGTTAGAGCAAGCCAGCTACACACGAATTTAAATACCATTTTAATGCATTTCATTTAAGCGAACATAATACATGTTATTAGATGGCAGACACGTCAAATAAAAGGAACATTCTCAGTTTAAATATTTGAGAATGTAGGTTAATCAAATATCAAATCAGTGCCACAAAAGAAGGATATGCTAATCACACCACGTATTGCACACTGTGTGTCCTAGTAACGCATTTTACTGCGTCAATAGTTAAACAAATGGAAACGGCTGGAATAAAATATGATTTGAGTAGCTTTCCACAGATGTGATTATTAAATATATTAACTCGTTTATCTTAGTTTAGCTTCACCTATTTTTGAGAATTTTAACAAGTTTCTCAGAACTCGGCATGAAATCGGCATCCTAATCAAATTGTTGCGATTTCAAATTAATTTAGCCCATCTCGCACCGCTCAAACAGTCAAACCAGTGTTAAGACTTTTAGTAAAGAGGACACCTGCTGAAAAATCAGCTGCCTAGGTTCGTCTTCAGCTTAAATAACAATCACTCTCGGCAATTGTGCTGGATATTTAGATTGTTTATCATGCCAAACGAACCGCTAGAAATATAGAAATACTGATATCATGATTTCAGGTACGGTATACTTGCGAGCCAACAACTCTGTTGACCACTTCGACTGGATAACTTGTCTCACAAAGATGTGTAAAGAGAGTGGATCTAAAGTGGAGAAGTACCACACTGGAGCCCTACTTCACAGCAAGTGGACCTGGTAAGATTTCTTACTATTCCTACATTTTGTAGATTCCTTACTATTCCTACATTTTGTATCAAGCAAAAGTCTACTTAGAGGCCTAATGGCTCATTGACCGCTTAAAGAAGGCAAGAAAAGACCAGAGAAAGCAAGGAACGGCTATGAAGCAATATAGGGGGGGTGTCACGTCCGTCTATGTCCGCTTGTCTCATAGAATCCAAAAAGGACAGGACATAGGCGGACATAGGCGGACATAGGCGGACATAGACGGACATAGGCGGACATAGGCGGACATAGGCGGACATAGACGGACATAGGCAGACATAGGCGGACATAGGCGGACATTAATGGACACCTAAATTGCTTAATAAAATGTTCAATTTTTGCTGTTATAGGGGGATCATGTTTTTTGTCCGTTCGGTACCCTATATTTTCAAAACGGACAAAAAATAGAGCGGACAAAAACGGACAAAAATGGACAAAAACGGACAAAAATGGAAATAACATTTAGATGCTTCCTCCTCCTACTCTTCCTCCTCCTCCCCCTGGGTCTTCCTGATCTTCCTCGGTCCTCTTCCTCCTCCCCTCCTCAGTCCTCCTCCTACTCCTCCTCCTCGTCCTCAGTCCTCCTCCCCAGTCCTCCTCCTCCTCCTGAGTCCTCCTCCTGGGTCCTCCTCCTGGGTCCTCCTCCTCCTCTTCAATCTTCAATCTTCATCCTCCTCCTCTTCCTCCTCAGTCCTCCTTAGTCCTCCTCCTCATCCTTCTCCTCAGTCCTCCATCCTCCTCCTCAGTCCTCCCCCAGTCCCCCTCCTCCTCCTCCTATTCAGTCCTCCTCCTCCTCCTCCTCCTTCTCAGTCCTCCTCAGTCCTCCTCCTCCTCCTCCTCCTCTTCCCTCTCAGTCATCCTCCTCAGCCATCCTCCTCAGTCCTCCTCAGTCCTCCTCCTCAGTCCTCCTCCTCCTGGGTCCTCCTCCTCCTCTTCATCCTCCTCCTCTTCCTCCTCGGTCCTCAGTCCTCCTCCTCCTGGGTCCTCCTCCTCATCCTTCTCATCAGTCCTCCTCCTCCCCAGTCCTCTCCCAGTCCCCCTCCTTCTCCTCCTTCTATTCAGTCCTCCTCCTCCTCCTCCTCCTCAGTTCTCCTCAGTCCTCCTTCTCATTTCTCCTAAGTCCTCCTCCTGAGTCCTCCTCCTCTTCCTTCTGAGTCCTCCTCCTGAGTCCTCCTCCCTCTCAGTCATCCTCCTCAGTCATCCTCCTCAGCCATCCTCCCCAGCCATCCTCCTCAGCCATCCTCCTCAGTACTCCTCAGTCCTCCTCCTTCTCAGTCATCGTCAGTCCTCCTCCTCAGTCCTCCTCAGTCCTCCTCAGTCCTCCTCCTCCTCCTGGGTCCTCCTCCTCCTGGGTCCTCCTGGGTCTTCCTGATCCTCCCCAGTCCTCTTCCTCCTCCCCTCCTCAGTCCTCCTCATACTCTTCCTCCTCGTCCTCAGTCCTCCTCATCAGTCCTCAACAGTTCTCCTCCTGGGTCCTCCTCCTCCTGGGTCCTCCTCCTCCTGGGTCCTCCTTCTCCTCCTCAGTCCTTCTCCTCCTCCTCCTCAGTCCTCTTCCTCCTCTTCCTCCTCCTCCTCCTCCTTCTCCCTCTCAGTCATCCTCCTCAGCCATCCTCCTCAGCCATCCTCCTCAGTCCTCCTCCTTCTCAGTCCTCCTCAGTCCTCCTCAGTCCTCCTCCTGAGTCCTCCTCCTCCTGAGTCATCCTCCTCAGTTCTCCTCCTCCTCCTAGGTCCTCCTTCTGGGTCCTCCTCCTCCTCCTCCTCCTGGGTCTTCCTGATCCTTCTCCTCCCTCTCAGTCATCCTCCTCAGTCATCCTCCTCAGTCATCCTCCTCAGCCATCCTCCTCAGCCATCCTTCTCAGCCATCCTCCTCAGTACTCTTCAGTACTCTTCAGTCCTCAAAATGTTTGTCCGCTAATGTCCACCAATGTCCGCTAATGTCCACCAATGTCCATCCATGTCCGTCCGGGTCCGCCAATGTCCGTCCGAGTCCGCCAATGTCCGTCCGAGTCCGCCAATGTCCGTCCGTGTCCGCCTATGTCCCAAAAAACACGTCCGTTGTCTCATAGAATCCAAAAAGGACAGGACATAGGCGGACATAGACGGACATGACACCCCCCCCCCCCCCCCCCCCCCAATATATCTTTCGAAATCTACTGTGACTCAGGACAGAGTTAATGAGAACGGATCAGGGAGGCCAAGCACAAAATGTTGAGCTCAGTCATAATTCAGCGCAGTTATGGCCATAAAGGATTCAAGGCAAACCAGACAAAGCTTTAAATACGTGAGGGTCGGCTATAAAAGCGGTATGGGTCGGATAGGAGCAGAGTTAAGAGAACAAGTCAGGCAAACGAGTAGGATTACTTGAAGATTGCTTAGAGTCGACGGGAAAAATCAGGGACGATGTTTAGGGATATTGTGAAGCGAAAAGACAGTAGTATTACATTAAAACCATGATGATCCACTCAAGATGAATGCGGGATGGGATCAAAGGGCAGCCAAAAGGGGGAGTTGACATTCTAGAAGCGATACCATGGATATTGGACAAGTGATGGCTACTTATAGGACATAGATTACGAAAGAGGGCTCCATAAGACCAGTGATGGTCAAAGTCAAATATGGAAGAACACAAAGGAAGCAACTAATTAGAACCAAGGGGGCCAGAAGAAATCTAAAGAAGGCTCATTACCCGATTACCCAACTTAAGTTGATATACAAGTGATGGCTACTTACAGGATATAGATTACGAAAGAGGGCTCCTTAAGACCAGTGATGGTCAAACTCAAATATGGAAGAACACAAAGGAAGCAACTAATTAGAACCAAGGGGGCCGAAGAAATCTAAAGAAGGCTCATTACCCGATTACCCAACTTAAGTTGATGTACAAGTGATGGATACTTACAGGATATAGATTACTAAAGAGGACTCCTTAAGACCAGTGATGGTCAAACTCAAATATGGATGAAAACAGAAAGGAAGCAACTAATTAGAACCAAGGGGGCCAGAAGAAATCTGAAGAAGGCTCATTACCCGATTACCCAACTTAAGTTGATATACATTAGCTTTGTTCAGTCCCACTTGCACTACTGCTGCACAGTTTGGGTAACAATACCGCTTAACTCCGCTGAACTTCAACTTGAAGTCTTTTCGGGAGAGAAAAAGGGCATTCGCGCTGCAGATAGCCGATTTTTTTTTTTTTTAGAGAGGCTGGGCCTGGATGGCCCACGAGAGGATAGCATATGAATGCTTTGCCTACCTCTGGGGTATGGCAGTCCTGTGGGAGGATGCCAGTGGAATCAAGATGTGTAATCAAGGATGATGGTAAGTGTTGTGGGGTGTGTCATAGATAAACGCTGAAGTGGTGGTTGAGTGTGGAAGAGAGAGGCGAAATAAGACGGCGTTAAAGTAGTCGCTATGTTACACCTGTCTGGTCCAACTCCTCTGGCACCACTAAGCGTTTAGTGTGGTTTGTAAAGTTGACAATGGTGGAGATGTGTTGGTTGTCGAATATGTCATTGACAGAGAGGTAGTAGTCCCGGAAATATTGACCTCTTATTTGGGCAATAGCCGGGCACTGTCCGAGAAAGTGTGAGACAGTCTCCTCTCCGTCGCCGCATTTAGGACAAGCACTTGTGCCTGATTTGCGAATGGTGTGTAGGTGTTTGTTGAGGCCGCAATGTCCCGTGATGAGGTGCACTGCAGTTCTGTAATTTTGTCTGTTGTTACTGAGTGTAGTGTTGAGATTTTTGATGATGTTGATGTTTTTATGTCCAAGTGTCAGTTTAGTGTGTCTGGGACCATCAGTAATCCATGATTCTTGATTAAGTTTTGTGACTTTGTCGTTGATCAGGCGTTTGATGTAAGATTGTGGAATTGGGCAATTCAAAGTGGATTCACTGGTTGTACCATTTTTGGCCAGCTCGTCTGCTTTTTCATTACCCCACAATCCGATGTGTGCAGCTATCCATCTGATCTCTAAGGTGTTAGTGGATCCGAGTGTATTGAGGGTGTCGTAACAGTCTCTAGTAGTCCTACTCCTCGTTGAAGGTGAGGATATGGCTTGAATAGAGGAGACACTGTCTGACCATATGATGATGTGTGTGTTTGTATAAGTTGATAGATATTTACAAGCTTCGATGATGGCAGTGAGTTCTGTTGGATAAACGGTGCAATAATCGGGAAGCTTGAATGATCTTTCATCTAGTGTAGTGTTGTTGTTGTCTGTGGTGATAATATAACCAGCCCCGCTACCTGAGTCTGTGCGTGACCCGTCTGTGTAGCAGGTGATGGTTTCACTGGAGATGTTGTCGATGGTGTTTTGGAGTGAGCCTCTATATCCAATGTTGTCAGCTCCAGGAGTGGTGACCGTGAAGCGTCGTTCAAGTATCATGGTTGGTATAGATAGGTCTCTCTCTGCTTTGGGTGGTATGTTGAGATCTACCATGAATTGTTTGTTGATAGTGGTATGAGTTGTGATGGTACCTTTTCTGGGGGCACAAACTGCTGCACAGTTTGGGTAACAATACCGCTTAACTCCGTTGAACTTCAACTTGAAGTCTTTTCGGGTCAGAAAAAGGGCATTCGCGCTGCAGATAGCCAATACCACCGCTACAAATGTGATAAAGATTTGAATATAACACCTTCGCACGCCGGGAAATCTTCAACAAAGTAGGAGTATTAGCTTTACCGAACTTGATACCTAAATGTATATTATGCTAAGGAAGCTACCAATAAGAACCAAGAAAGCTAGAAGAAATCTAGAGAAGGCTCATTACCCGACTACCGAAAAGAAAGAAATTGTAGTCAAAATAGCGAGTAACTTACATCTTTTGGACGGGAGATTGCGATTACTTGTATAAAATCAAAAAAATAGTTTTTCTGAAAACTGTTTATCTCTACGTTTCATGTAATTTGATCACTTTTTTTGAAAAACTTTTTTCGAATTTTCTAAAAACCACTTCTTTCCTCAGTTGTGGAAGTAAGAATGCCGCTCATGAAACAGAAGGATGTCACGTTGTACCGGATGAAAAGGAACAGATTCCCGAAATTGACATCTACAGGGAATTGCAAAGGTACGGCTATATTCCTGTTGAGGGATAACTACGAAAATGTTGCACCTACTTTAGAAATTAAACATTTTCCCGGCATTTTTGACACACTATTTTGATTTTTGATGAAGGTTAAACACGAAAAAGTTAAAGTCAAGTCATTGAAAGTATAGCCTCTGTCTGTTATAGAAGCATTCGGGACATATTTTATTCAATAACAATACTATGACAAAATGTCTATCCAAAAATAATGAATACACTTAATTCTTATCGATTCAAAATGATTTATACTCACACTAACATTACATAACTTTGAAACTCTTAATAAAAGTAAACTTAACTCCAATAAACTCAACAGGTTGTATCAGATCCTGATCGATGGCATGAATAAGATGGAAACCTATCGTACATCCTTACAAAATAACAAAGCGGGGGATGACGTAGAACTTAATAGAAAATCTCTACAGTCTCTAAATAGTCTTATTAAAGTTATTCAAGGTAAGATATTTTATGTTTCTTGTTTTTGAAAGTTTTTTAAGGTTGCCAGATACTTTAATCTCCACTCATTTAGGATCAGTTTGTCAGATAAACTCACAGTTCATATACAATATTTCACCGTCTTAATACTCTCCTTCATAAAATGTTTGGAAGATGTATTTTAACTAGCAGCTACTCCTTCGTCTGTTCATTCTAGGTCCCAAGCATATCCCCATCCTCCTTGTCATCCTCCCTTCTAACAACTCATTTCTGGGTAGTGAGTTCCTCCTCACCTTCCTCTTAAATGTAATATCATCTTCTTCCCCTGTAGCCACCTGTGATGTCTTATGGTCTTGACCACTGTAACTCTTCTGAAAATAGGGTTTTAATCTCACAAATGCTTTACTCATATACTATACAGACACTTATCAAAGCAGGAACATAAAGCAGTATGCATATCTGTGTATATACATCATGTATAGAATAACATTAACTGAAGGAAACATACTGTCTCTTCGGTGGGTGTAGCGAAGGTCTTGACAATTAACCGGAACAGGACCACAACAAATATCAGATACATTATTGCCGTAATAGACTCTCCAAACTGAAACTCGCTTTTGAACCATAATCTTGGGTCACCATAGCTGTACCAAACCCCTGTAATTCGAATATGTTAGTCAACGTCAAGGATAGAATGGTAATAATTTAGTCGGCTCTGTAAGGAAGCGGTCAAGAAGATGATCTACTTGTTTACAGCCTTTTCGGGGCAGCTCCAAGGGCCAGACATGTGTGGTGTGTCGTCTGAACCCTTGTCACTTACAGTCTTATACCTAAGTTTCGAGGTCCACATGTGAGTGTGTTAACCACCGCTCAGCTCACCTAATATTAAGAACATCAATAGAACTATTTTATAACAGATACAGACGCAAATTTTCTAAAAATAAAAGCAGGAAAGGTCACCAGCAACTCTTCACCTACCGGCGTAAGTCATGTTAATTTTCGACATATCTCTTCTGATGAGTCTTGAGTTTGGAGCACTGAACCCTCTCATTTGGTGGCTCCTGCAGCTTGGAACACGACAAATAAAGTTCAGACAAACTCTTATGCCAGAACCACACACTGTTAAAACTCCTACTCTAGTTTGATATGATTCATCTGGAGTAATGACAGCTAATCTCTCTTTAACCCCTCCGCTAGTCTCAATATACCCCTCAATCTCCCCAGCAGCTCCCTCCAACGTCAGGTCCAGGATATTATTACCGTACTGGTCACGCGTTATAGAAGCTGTGAAGCTGTGCAGTTTAGCAGGATCTGATAACCACACTTGGTTAAGCACTAAAGTGTTTCTCTTACTCCTCAGAGATACACTGACTGGTCCCTGGTGTGAACCCAGTGCTCGCACCACCACCTTGTCCGACTCTAACACCACTGTCTCTACTCTTGTAGCATGGTAATCCTCAAGTGGGACCAGGTGCTTATCCAGATCCAACCCTTCACTTCCCTCCACGTTGAAATATCTCCCTATAATCTTTGCCTTGCCATTGTTCCTCCCGCAGTTAAATGTCCGTATCTGTACTTTGTCAATTAGTATCTTCCTCCAGTCTGTCTCTGGAGAGTTTCTGTACCAGCCTAGTTTGTTAAGATCCCTCTCATCCACCCTGTTGATCTGATCCCCCCAGAACTTGAAGACTTTGCCTTGGTGTCTGATGTAGAGGCCTGGTGTTATCAGCTCATCTGGGATACTATCTCGTTTTATCGCGAGCTCAAAATACTCATCTTCTAGAAGGAGCTCGCTGTTATCTACCAGAGTTAGAGAAACTCTATCGCTTCTCAGCAGCTTAGCTTTATTTAGATCCAGGACAGTTACATTGAACAAGTAGCGAGTCTCATTGGGTGCAGCAAGTTCAACAACCTCCGCTGCACTTGTAACATTGTCACGTGATGAGCTTGTCAGTGTAAGACGGCAGCAGGAGACTGCCTCGCCTCCAACCACTACGCAACCCTCAGGACTCTGCCCCAACTCAGTCACCACCACACACGTGCTGTTGTCAGCCGCGCACTCCCGCTCAATAACTTTGCACATATACCGCCCCACGTTAGGGCACGCGCACCCACATTCTGTGTGGATATCAGGGATGGCAAAGTTATAGGATGATTGTATAGGGTACACCTGCTCAGATAGCAGGTATTGTACCGCGTATAGTCTGTCTATCCTGTCTCCAGTACTAGAGTTCAAAGTCACGTGATAGCACAGAGTCCCATGTAAAGATAGTAATGAGACTCTTACTCCGTCATCACCATTAGTAACTGTAACATAGGAGCAGAAGTCCGGGAAATGTGCATGAGAAGGGTGGTTTGTAAACACGAATATTATAAACAATAAACGAGCACTCATGGTGTGGAGTGATACACTGAGTGCTATCACTGAGTGCTAGGTTGCACCCTCGTTTTGGTATAAACTGCCTTTAATATCTTGTTTTAACCCGGCTTTATTATATATTACTAACACATAACATACATTTTTTGAAATCAAACATTCTTTAGTTGTCATGAATAGTAATAGCAAAAATGCGCTCACATTGTTCTTAAGTAAAATATTTTCCAAGATCCCCGACTCACTGACTGATTATGTGATTATCTTACACATGTTACTAATGAACACGAAATGTTGTGTTGCTAATGTTGCTAATTTACAGATCTACAGTCGACTCATGAACACTACGAACTGAATGATAGTGGCATATCTCCTGGCAACAGGTAAACGGAGAAGCATTAGCTTTATTTTTTCATATAATAGGCATGGTTTTTTAGATCTTAGCAACTATAATTCTGTTGTCTTAAAATTGACATTTTCTTGTTCAAATTATAGGTTACATTATGATATGGATTTTAGTTCATTTTCTTACTTATTTTGATTAAAATAAGACAATTTTTAGTGAGTTCAATATCATTTGAATGTAATCCCAACAGTGGAATATCATTATTAACAATGTTATTTATTTCAGACATGTGCCGCTGGGACCACTTCCACAAGGATGAAAGTAGAACCTAAAACCACCAAACAGACCAAGGACCGTTACTAAGTAACCGTTACTAAGTAACTGTCACTTCAGCTCCTGTCCGATACACACCCACCCAATAACTCTCTCAGTAGCTGCTTTCCGCTGAACACTGGCAAGTTGCCAGAATCCGTCTGATTTTGAGAGTCTTGTTTTTAGGCCTGGAATGTGCGGAAGAACTCGTAGGATTTGGGTGGGACTGTACTGTGTACAGTTCTACTTACTTATCCGCACTGGATGTGTTCATTTTACATGGTGCAGTGGGCACTAGAAGCATGCACAGTGCAAAGCTCTCAGTGCGCACTGGGTTTAGTGCGCACTGGGTGCAACGTGTACTGCTTCCCCAGAGCACACCCTGTACCTGTACAGTGCTGTGCGTGTACTGCTTCCCCAGAGCACACCCTGTACAGTGCTGTGCGTGTGGACGGTGTGTTTTGCGCTCAATGCGCATCAGCGTGCTGGAAATTGGTATTATGCGCTATGTGCTGCTGTATTGGAGTAAAGTGAATCAGGAGCCTGGAATTCAGTTCATAGTAATGACTTGTTAAATAGTTATCTTTCCAACCACCTAGGATCCTCCTTTCAAAATATAATGTATATTGCTTACTTCAGGTAAGTGATATATAAATATAATATATTTTAGGTTTTATTTCTGCTAATTTCACTTTATTACTCTCGTCTGTGCCGCTAAATTATTTTCTCATCAACAAGATTGTCTCATGTAGGAATATGTTTGTCAATAAATTCAAAATTTGTGCGAATTGGTACATTGATCTGTAGATTTGTAAATATGAAATTTTTAGACTGAAGCTCAAGTCGAGTCAAAATATTTTTTTAGTATTTTTACGTTTCTTAAACGTGGGAAGCTGTGTTAAGAAGCTTTATCACTGCAGTGTTTCCACCTATATTGAAGACGCCCGATCATTGCACGTGACACTGACCAGTGTTTTCTAAGGTGCGCTGAGCTGCGGCGCACTCAATGATTGTGCGTCGCAACCATAGGTGGGATTCACCTGTCCGTTATCAAGGATGAAATTTATTTTATGTAGCCTTCCTCTTATGCTCTCTGATTTTATTGATAATTCCTGTCCTGACTATTTTAAGCGGAATATTGTAATTTATAAACTTAAAATTTTTTAGAGCCGTGTACAGAGAGACAATGTAACATTTTGCTTTATGATTGATTATAATTAGTTATAATTATAATTAGTTATAATTGTAATTAACTTATAATTATGATTTTGCTTTATAATTAATCGCCTAATAACGTTTTAACCGGTTAATAGAGTTTAGAAGTGATTTGTTATTATCCCCTAGCAATAACGTGTAATTGTAGCTATCTGATATCAACTGTATAGACATTTAATAATATAATCACTGTTCTATCCTCGTAATGATCGCATTTAATTGATCAGCTCACAGTAATAACCTTATATATTGCAATGACGATTTATCTTTGTGATGTTCAACACTTAGTGCCATGCACGTGCTACGTTGCTGCGCGCAAACTGCGCGATGCAAATGAGTTTTCTCATCACGCTGCACGTGCATGCTGTTACAGGTCGAACAAAATTGTTTTTTCCGAGCATCAGGAATTGCTCCTGAATGATAGTCTTACAATCGACTGGAACTTTTATTATTACATAAGTTTAACACGCATGTTATTTGAACTATTTAATCCTAATCACATACATCATAAATCACACTAACTTACAATTTACATGCACACCAACTTGTATTCACAAAATCTTCAAATTTAAAATTTACAAACACTCTGGCTCACATGAACAATACTCATTATAAATAATTGAATAACGCTATTCTTCGAAGTCTCACAGTCAGTCACACTAACTCTGGCATAAGGCATAAGCACATTATTTGTTCCCACTCATTCACCTCATTCGTAATCGTACTCATAAGGCAATTTTTCAACTCCACAACTATCATATGTAACAAGATTCGTCACTCATGTGCTTATGACTTTAAATTTGTTCGTCCTCAGCACCACCACTTAGTCTGACTGAGCGCCCTTAGATGGGCTTCTAATTTGTAATTAAGTTAGCTCTACAGAAGAGGATATAATGTGTTTTAAAGTTCGCTGTTGAAACTTGTTACGTATTGCAGACTCAGATGTCGACCAATTTATAATAATTCGTAAACGTCACAGTTAAGAATTTTTCATAATTACCCAACAAATGTTGTCCACCTCGTTTGACTCTACCCTCATCTTCACCTCACTCCACAGCCTTGTTCATGAAGTTAAGATGTGTGTAACTCAGTTACTATCAACTGTAGTAGGGATAGCTTTCTTGTTGATTAATATTGCGGTGCTGATATTGGATATGATTCATATTTCCACATACATATGCTCTTTTTTTTTTTGGGCGAGCGATTTAATGGAAGCCCTTCTTGTTGGAAAATTTCACTCTGTTCAAATTACATGTGAAAATCAAATTCTGTTTTCAGTTTTATGTTACCCAAATTATTGGGGGTAATTTTAGAATTTACTACTTTATAGTTGACAAAGAAGTAATTGGACACTGAAAGTATCGGCACCCCAAGCTTCCGTAGGATCATTTCATAGTTAATCATTCAAAGATAATTGCTTTGTTAAACTGGTTGTTTTATTATTATTAAGATCATTCGTTTCCTTTTTCACGCTCTGAAATTTTCCATAAATCTTCGCGCGCGAAAAGAGGTATAGTTATAGTTATATACAACGTGTATCAAATAAATCTTGATGAGGAACATTATTGGGGACCTACCCCAGTATTGTTTAGTATTAGTAAGAGAACCCTTGTAGGTTTACAACCTACCAGGACGCGCGCCGAGTTGGACTCGTCGACGGTCCTGTATATGGAACAGATATTTTACGAGTATCACCCGTTAAGAGAACCCCCTGACATAACAGGCGTGCTTTAATTTTATAAGGCTTGCAGAGCGCAGATAAACTTAAAAAGTGCAAAATATTTACGATTACTATTTTTAAATGAGTTGAATCCGTGCATCATGCATGACAAAAATTTACGATTTGCTTAACCACTTTTGAATGACGATGCCAACCCTTCCAAATTGTTGCTTCGTGAAGCACAGCAACAATTTTTGACTTACAGTTACATCGTCATTTTATTTAGTGCCGTGGTTGTAGCGGCTCTTACTAAATCGCTCGCCCGAACCACAAACCATGCCTACAATGATTTAGTGAGCGCTTGTCATACGTTGTATGACCCGCCGCGCACGAAGTGCGCGGCTCCCCCTGTAGCGTCGAAGACGCTACAGGGGCAGTCGCTACAGGGGGCGCTTCACTATAGTCGTTTTACTATAGTCTTTTCACTATAGTGAAACGACCGTGGGGGTCACCACGTGATACAAGTGAGCGCGCTATTTCATATCTAGGACTTACTGGGCCGCGCTTGATACATGTTTCGTATCCCAATATCAGAAAAGTGGCATGCAACGTATGTCAAGGCCGCGCTCAGCCTGTCATTCCGCCTAATCTCTATTCGGTTTATGAACATGTATACCGGGATCAGAGACAAATTTCTAGTGTAGCGGTTGTTGCAGTGATTCAGTGATTCATAATCTTCAGTTAATTGACGAAGTAAATTCTTGTCATACGTTGTATGACCCGCCGCGCACGAAGTGCGCGGCCGGTCGCGCTAAATCACTCTACAGTCGATTCTTCCATTTTCACCACTTTTAGTTTCGCATTGGATAAGCACATGTTATACGCGCGCGTTACGTGTCAATCATATTTGATCCCGATTTCTTACTTTGGGTTTCAAACTTGCTTGTCGAGTTTTCGTCAATAATCAATTATCATCCATGATTCATCATTGCCACTTGTGTAATACCTTGAAATCCTATAAGTTGAATGAATAGGTTTTAAAATTGTTGACATAGCATAGAAGGACTGTTGTCAGAATGTAGAATGATACAGAGCCGCCTTCAGAAGTTAAAATTGTTGAGCCTTATTTTCTAGTGTACTGTTTCGTATGACATATGAGTCGAGGTACAAATAGAATTTTTCGCTGGATCAAAATGCTGAGATTTTAATATAAAGCAAAGCCAAGTATCAATAAACTAGTTTAGATTACGCCTGATTGCTTGAGTCCTATTTAAAAATATTTTTGATATGTGATCCTAGAAGTAGAATCACAAATTTTGCATTCGTTTTAATTGTGTTTTTTTTATGCGAAGAGCATAATATATTGTTTTTCCTTAAGCCAGCTGATCCAGCTATTGTAAAAGTCTACGGTCTAAAATGCTGCTTACTTTAGAAACATTACCTGAGGACCCCAGGCTATTATGTTCATTAACAGAATAAAGATTTGGCGGAATGACAGGCTGAGCGCGGCCCAGTAATAGAAACACTGCGCTTCTTATTTGAATCATTAAATCTAGGCTGCATAAAATGATAGGTTTTCGGATTTTGACCTGAGCAGCCGAAACTGATATTATTATTATTGTTATCCATATAATATACTATTATCGATGTAGTTTAATAGACTATAAATTTATTATATAACCTGGTTTTATTTCCATAGAAGTGTTTTTACCAGTTACTTTAGTAAATTAACAAAATGTACGTCTCCACTCTGCAGTTCCGACTGCAATTCGAACTTTGCCGTCTAGAATCTAGTGTGAATATTATAGATATTTACAACAAATATTTTAATTGGTAATCTTGTTTTGCTTTACTGGGCCGCGCCAAATCTTTATTCAATATGTTAATGAACATAATAGCCTGGGGTCCTCAGGTAAGTTTTGCTCTTATGAGTGGGTCAATCATTTATTTTTAATTGTAGTTGACGAAATCGTAGTATTAATAGATTATTTTAACATTGTATCTTTGCAGCTATGTAAGTTTTCAGTACGTCCTGTTTATGACAAAGGCATGTAGCCGAAACGTCGACAAAGAATTATGTTTTAACACACTGAGTGGAGACTCTCATTTCGTCAACTACAATTAAAATATTTTAATTATCAGGTTCATCAGCATGGGACAAGTTGCAGATCAACCGCCATATAGGTACGTACTACAAGTTTTCATTTATGACTCAGTAATACAATTAAACAACAAGTTAACTTAAGAGTTGCAATTTGATTGATATACAATATCATGCGATAGTTTATTAAAATACTTCGAAGGCTTTTAACTTGAATAACAATATCATTTTTAAAGCAAGGTTTGTAATTGAAGGCAAGCATATCGGTCTGGGTAACACGACTCCTGTCCGACAGCGACAGCTGTCCGACAGCGACATCTGTCCGAATCAGGGTACCAGAAAAAAACGACATCTGTCCGAAATTGTGACCTGATTTGAGATATGATCTGAGCCATAGTTTACTACCACAGTTTATTTTTCGATAGCTTTGAGGAAATCCATAGGGTTGCTGTAGTTGTCGTAACCATCTACAATTCTCTGAAGTTGTCCATCATAACGGATCCATTTGGGTGCACGTGGCTCAGGTAGTTCCCGCCAGTCTCTTTTGGTTTTCTTCACGTCTGTAACAGGAGAGTTTGGAGTCAGGTACTCCTCCCAGATGTTGGTCTGCTTAACATGCTTCAGGAGGGCTTTCTTGTAGTGGAAGTTACATCCTCGTCTGGTAGTGGAGGGCCACACGGAAGCAACTTGCTCGAGATTCGTAACCCAATCCACCGACCCTGACCCTGACCCTGACCCTGACCCTGACCCTGACCCTGACCCTGACCCTGACCCTGACCCTGACCCTGACCCTGACCCTGACCCTGACCCTGACCCTGACCCTGACCCTGACCCTGACCCTGACCCTGACCCTGACCCTGACCCTGACCCTGACCCTGACCCTGACCCTGACCCTGACCCTGACCCTGACCCTGACCCTGACCCTGATCCTGATCCTGATCCTGATCCTGACCCTGACTTTAAACTTTCCAGATAGTTACATGGCTATAAGACGGATAATCTGAGCAAGTTTGGGCAAATTTCTATGTGCCAAACTTGAGATATGACTTCAAACACATTAAAATATCTCAAATTGGCGGTTTTGGTACGATATTTGACGAAAGTCGATTATCTCAAGATCTAACTGATAGAATTTCTTTAAACTTTCCAGAAAGGGGGGGAGCCAAGTAGATTTTTGTAGATATTTGGATACGTTAATTCACCACTTGTTTCGTGAATTATCCATTACAATAATCTACAAATATCTACATTTATCTACAAAAAATGTATATCTCAAATATGTGCCCAGAAATTCTACTGAATTTTTGGAGATAAATGTATAAATTTGTAGAATTTGTAGAATTTTCGTGAATTATCCATTGACAATAATCTACAAATATCTACATTTATCTACAAAAAATGTAATCTCAAATATGTGCCCAGAAATTCTACTGAATTTTTGGAGATAAATGTATAAATTTGTAGAATGTCAACCACTTTTTTCGTGGATTATCCATTCTACATTAATCTACAAATATCTACAAATATCTACTTGGCTCCCCCCCCCCCCCCCCCCCCCAGATAGTTACATGGCTATAAGACGATTAATCTGAGCAAGTTTGGGCGAATTTACATGTGCCAAACTTGAGATATGACTTCAAACACATTAAAATATCTCAAATTGGCAGTTTTGGTACGATATTTGACGAAAGTCGATTATCTCAAGATCTTACTGATAGAATTTCTTAAAATGTTTCCAAATAGTTACATGGCTATAAGACAGACAATATGAGCAAGTTTGAGCGAATTTCTATA